CACAGGCAGCCCCTGGCTACCGACACGGACGTCAGGGCCCCTGCACCGCACAGGCAGCCCCTGCACCGCACAGGCAGCCCCTGCACCGCACAGGCAGCCCCTGCACCGCACAGTGAGCGCGGAGGGCGACTGCAGAGGCCGAGACTCACCTCCTCGGACGCTTCTGCTTATTCTTCGTGCGGCTTTTCCGCGTTGGCTTGGGCAGAATTCTCCTCTGCAAGGTACAAAGTTATCATGCAGTAACAACAAAAAGCCTCTAGGTCGGTAGAAAAGTCTGTCCAGCTGCTTTTAAACAAAGGCAGTCACAGAGCAAACCAAACTCTGAGACCAAACAAGTTAGTGAGAAGCTGGCTCCCTACAGACCTTCCCCAGCACCTCCCGCCCTGCCCCACGGCCTCACCTGCGCAGGAGCAGCCTCGGGCCAGCCCCGGGCACCCTTCCCCAGCTCTGCCACCGGAGCAGCTTATTCACAACCAGGCTGCTTCAACCACCGAGTGCCCACCGGCCCACACGCGGCCCCACGGACTCAGAGAGGAACGTTCCCCGGCCCCAGGTACCTGAGCGATAAACACCACGTGCTTCCCACTGAACTTTTTCTCCAGCTCGCGAACCAGCCGGACTTGGATTTTCTGAAAGGACTTCAGCTGAGGAACCGGGACGAAGATGATGATGGCTTTCCGACCCCCGCCAACTTCGATCTCCTGAAGGGGACAGACCCGCCGCTCACGTTCAGACCCGCTGCTCGCTCGCAGGCGCAGCGACAGGTGCCGCGTCCAGCGCCAACGGTCAGCCTGGGCCTCCCGAGTCCCGAGCCCCTCCGGCCGCCTTCCAGCCCCGGCCCACTGCAGCCCGCCCTGCACCGCCCCTGCTCCCGGCTCCCACGGGCGCCGCGACCAGCACACGGGCAACGGCACCGCTGCGGGCGGTCCCTGCCCCCAAAACGGCCTGGCTGTGCTCTGCAAACACACTGTCCGACACCTGCACCAAGACCCGGGTCGAAGCACCCCAAACCCGCGTCCTCTGCACAGAGCAGGCCACAGCGTAGAAAGGCGGACGCAGCCACGGCGGAACCTGGAGCCCGAGATGCGTCCTTTCGGGGCAAACCCCCCGGGCAGGGGCAGGCGCAGCCTCCGAGCACGTGTCTGCGACGCGCCCTCGCTGCGGGGACGGGGGGACTGGCCTCGGGCGCGCCACCCCGGGTCCCCGCGGCCACGCACCTTGGCCGCGGTGATGTTCAGCTCCCGCAGCTGGGCCTTGAGGTCCGAGTTCATCTCCAGCTCCAGCAGGGCCTGGGAGAGGGCGGGAGGCGACCTCAGCGACCCACGTGCGGCCGCCCGCCGGGGACCAGCGACAGGGGGCCCGCGCGTGCCCGCCCCGCCCCCCTCACCTGGGAGATGCCGGACTCGAACTCGTCCGGCTTCTCGCCATTGGGCTTCACGATCTTGGCGCTCGAGCTGAACATGGCCTTCCCCTGGAAGCAGACAGAGCGCTGGGCTGAGCGGGCCCCCGCCCCCCGCACACGCCATCGGGGGCCCCACGCCGCGTTATCCGCCGCATCCCCGCCGGGTGAGCCGCAGCCGCCGCGCCAGGGATGGCTCCGAAGCGTGTTGCCCGCAAAACTGGCAGAAAAGGCCGCGCACACAGGAGGCCGCAGACTTACCTTGGTGAGCGCCGGCTTGAGAAGAGACCTAGGTCTCGCGAGAGCTCGTCAAATCTCGGCGGCGGACAGGAAGAGGCGGGAATTAAAGGAACCGAAATAGCCACCGAGAAGTGGTGGAAGCCTAGAAAGTCCCGGAAAGAGGTCCCGGGGAACCAGTGCTCTGGTAACACCCTTCCGCCTCAGGAACCTCTTTTTCGGTGCTGTTCGGAATGGTTCCGCGGCCGGCCTGTGGTTCCAAGTCGCAGCCGGCCTTCCTGGCTGGGGTCTGGGTGGGAGACCTGGCCCAAGGAAAGCAACTTCAGCCACCCCGGAGACAGATCATTTAAGAAGGGCCAACAACCTGTACGGTAGCTCAGTTGCTGAAATCGTGGTCCTGATACGCCAGGTCGCACGTTCCATCCCCAGCCAGGACACATATAGGAATCAAACAATGATTTGCAAACAGCAAGTTGGATGTTTCTCTATCTATCTATCTATCTATCTATCTATCTCAAAATCAATCAATCAATCAATAAAAAGAATCCTGTATTGGGGATGTATAATGTCTGCATCTGTGAGGCAGAAAGCCTGGGGTGCCAAGTGAGGGGTTCAGGGGAAGAAGGCCCAGATTTCAGTCTTTTTTTCCTCTCCAGGTCCCAGTTCCTAATGTGAATGATGAAGTGGCCAAGAGAGTTCATGATGAGTCCTTGCATATAAAATGAATTTATAGACTTGTCTGTTCACTAAAAAATTAATAGGTTGAAGGTGTTTTTCTCTCCCCTCCACTCAGAGCTGTCAGAGTTCTCTTCTCATCTGTCTGCCGATGTAAGAAGCATGCGAGTGACAGGAAGGTGCACGCCTGTGATGGATGTGACAGTCACAGGCCTTTCACTGAAGCAAGGTCACTGGCTTCTTCGGCAAAGTCTCAGGGTTACCCTTCTATATAACAGTCCATGATCCTTAGACATCAGTAACTTATCAGGTGGACAGAAGGTAACTGCTCAGATATTAACATTTAAAATATAGAAATAGCAACACTTGGTTTTTATCATAAACTGATCATTTGCTCTTCTTCAATACATGTCCTTAAAAGCAACAGCATTCTGCCATTAATATTCATGAAACAGGTACAGGATGAAAGGGATTAGTGCAACAGTGAGGGCCCGCTTGTACATCAGACCCTGTGAGAGGCATCACACACAGTCCATAGCCTCAGTCACCCCATAGCATCATTACCTCCATGGTTCTAAGGAGGGAAGAGACTTTAACCAACTCACCAAATTTACACAGTAAGTTGTGGCTGGAAGTCAGTGTATGTGAACTTCACAGCTGTGGAGGAAAAGGGGCCACATGCTCACCTGACAAGCTCAGGAAAGGTCTGCCTGGCAGCCTTGCAAATTCAAAAGACTTAAAGTAACTACATAGGATGGTCTGAAATTAAAACTTTTAAACTAAAAGCAGTTTATGGCAGGTAGTCATGTCCAAGGCTGGCATCTTCTCTGACAAAGGTCAATCTTTACTTTAAGTGAGACTGTCTATTGTCCTTTTGCATCTGTGATAACAAATCTTTGGAATGTCAATGTAATTTTTATTTTTCGGGACCCCTCAAAGCACAGGTGAAGACCACAAATCCCCTCACTGTTACTGAGTTAACTGTTGACCGTTACCTATCTTGTACCAATCTAAGTAAAAGATGTATGTGTCTGTCATTTTATTTTTATTTTTTTTAAATTTTATTTTTGTTACAGATGTTTCTCCTTTTTTTACCCCATTGGCACCCCCCCCCCCGCCCTGTCCCCGGCTTTGTTGTCCATTGGTTATGTGTACATGCATATAAGTTCTGTGGTTTATCTCTTCCTACCCCCCCACCCCCTCTTCTGAGGGTTGTCAGTCTGTACTCTACTTCCATGTTTCTGGGGTCATTTTATTTTTCACCCCATCCCAGGGTTTCCCATCTTTGCTTTCGTCCACCTTCTTAATCTATCATCAGTGAATTTCATGTAACTCACTTGCTGCTTCTTTTGATTGTAATGTATAAAATAAGGTGCAAAACTACCATTCTCTGGAGCATTATCTCAATCTGTTGAGATTTCGCTTCCCGGCAACTGTTGACATTTTTGGCTCAAATCAACGCAGAAAGTTCTTCACAGGTGTGAATGCTTCTTACGTTGACACAGCCCAGGGACAGGAAGAGAAGAGCACTGGGGGAAACGAATGGTTTGCACACACACTTCTGCACGTCTAGTACTTAGTTCTGCAGCGGGTGCACAGGGAGCTCTCCTTGGCCTCCACACCATTCGGATGTCGTCATCCCCGGCCCCCTTGAGGAAACAGGTCTGGAAAGCTACCTGACAAGCCTGGCCCACACATCCTCAGATATCACGCTTTTGTTCTTGTCCACAGGTCACCTGTAGGGTCGTCATTACATCGGATAAATAAAGTATTGTCTCCGGAAGGTGCAGTTAAACTGCGCTCAGCTCAGTAATTCACCCGTGTTCGTGGGCCCCCGGGGGCATTTCCACTGCTACTCAGGCTGAGTGCAGCCTGGGAGACCGGGCACGGCCGTGGAGACCTGGGCGCCCCGGAGGAGCGGGCGGCGGCCAAGGTATCTGACTCCCAGGCTGGATTATTCTAACGCCCTTCTCCCGTCAACGAACCTTCCCAAGTATGACATGTAACCGCTCGTAACCATCTTCTCAATTCACTCTTTTAAATCCAATTAAAATAAAAAAAATAAACTTCCATTTTAAAGGCATTACCCAAATGGAGTAAAACATTTAATGGACAAACTAAAGTCTGCACTTTAACGCACACAGCTCACGGATGGTTCTCAGCGCCCGTTCACTGTTCGAAACCTGCAACGCGGCCGTCACGTGGCGAAGGCCACGCGCAGCCAGGTCACGCACGGGAGGAGCGAGTCCTAGGTGGGTCCGACCGAGATCGCGGGGGCGGGACGGGGCAGCTGCGCGGCGGCACTTCTCTGGGCCCCTCCCTACTCCCGCTTTTTCATTTGTGGACGCGACTGTCCTTCCCGCCCAGAAGGGCCCCAGGCCCCGCCCAAAACGCCAGACCCCGCCCACACAAGGCACCATCCACACCCCGCTCAAACCAACCGCCCTAGACCGCGCCCCTCCATAGGCTCCGCCCTCCGCATGGCCCCTCCCACATCTCTCTCGACTCCAGGCCCAGCCCCGCCCCGGACCTCCGCCTGGGCCTCCCTTTCTCACTGACATCCCGGAAATTGACGAACCCAAGGAGGGTGCGGCTCTAGGCCCCGCCCACTGGCCGTCCCACGCCCCGTCGTGCGTCATCTCCCCGCGCCTGCGCGCCGCCGGAAGTTTGGTCTGTGCGGCGTCGCGCGCAGCGGAGGCGAGGATGGAGCCCGGTACCCGGGCGTGAGCGATGCCCAGGCTGCTGGGCGCGGTGCACAGGGTCCTTGTGGCCGCCGTGCGCGGCAGCAGCGGCGGGCTCGGCATGTTCTACGCCGTGAGGAGGGGCCGCAAGGCCGGGGTCTTCCTGACCTGGTGAGTGAGCCGCGCTGCCCGGGAAAGATTGCGAGGATTGTTTTTCCAAAGACCTCACGACTCTAGCAGGCTTTTTATTAATTAATTTATTTAAAAAACGTGTTGTAGTCAATGGAGTACTATGCAGCTGTAAGGAGGAAAGGTCTCTTGTGCTTTGAGAGGACATGGAGGGACCTGGAGAGTATTGTGCTAAGCAAAACAAGTCAATCAGTGAAAGACATATATCACATGATCTCACTTATTTGTGGAATACAATGAAGAAAACAAACTGATCAACAAAATAGTCCCAGAAACATAGAAGTAGGGTTCTGACAAACCTCAGAGGGGGGGAGGGGTAAAGCACAGAACTTATGTGCACGTATGTGTAACCATGGACATAGACATCAATGCTGGGGGGCATCGGGAGGAGGGTGTCAATTGGGGGAAAAGGAGAAACATCTAACAAAAATAAATTAATAAAAAAAAATTTCACGTAAAAATAAAATACGTTGTATTGACTTTTTAGAGAGAGAGAGGAACATCGATTGGCTGCCTCCTGCACGCCCCCTATTAAGAACTGAGCTTGCAACCTGGCCATGTGCCCTGACCGGGAATTGAACCGGGACCTCTCAGTCCATGGGACGGTGCTCAGTCCACTCAGCCACACCAGCCCGACATAGCATGCTTTTTAAAAGGTATTTATTTTTATTGATTTTAAAGAGGGAGAAAGAGAAACATCAGTTGGTTGCTTTCTGTAGGTGCCCAACCCGTGACAGAACCACAACCCAGGCATGTGTCCCAACTGGGAATTGAACTGGCAGCCTTTGAGTGCACGGGGGGGATGCTCAGCCACGCAGCCACCCGGCCAGGCAGGACTGTAGCGTGCTTTGAGTCTGAGGGAAGCTTGCAATGCTGGAGTCCTGTTGCGCTGGCACAGAGTATGGGAAAGCGCTGGACAGGAGAGAGAAACCGACAGGAGCGGACAGCCCCCTTCACACCGTTCCCATCCTGGGAACAGAATCACTTGACAAGGGGCAAAATGAAAGGAAAGGAGGGAGTAACGATGCGCTCTGTTCCAGGAACGAGTGCAGAGCGCAGGTGGACCGGTTTCCTGCCGCCAGGTTCAAGAAGTTCGCCACCGAAGAGGAAGCCTGGGCCTTTGTCAGAAACTCTGGGAGCCCCGGTGGTTCCGAAGGTAGTCACCAAGCACATCACTGTGCCACTGCAACCTGTTCTCAGCCTCTCCTGGCCTGGGTGTCACCTGACCTACATACCTATCTAGTGAGCAGATAGAGATGTGGTTGTCAACACTTGTCCGTTTTACACACTGAAGGCAGTTTAGTGGTTCCTGTCGGTGACAGTGTTAGGGACAAGCCAGGACTCAGCTCTCTTGTTCCATTTAGTGTCCTCATGGTGGTTCATCAAATTTTAACAGCACTTGCTCTTGTTACTGGATTGGATGGGCTGCAGTTTTAGAGCAAGGAATAGTGCTTTTCACAGCATGCACCTGGAGAGGGGTCCCTTTTTATTTAACACAGTCGTACAGTCGGACTTGCCTCCAGTCTCACATGTTGCATAAAGTGTAGTTAATTGACATTGAAGGCCTACCGTGAGGGGCATTAGGTTTGCAGGATGAAGGGTGATTCTGTTTTAGAGCACAGCATTTTTTAAAATAGATCTTACTTAACCTACCTTGAAGAAGTGATTTTCCATGAACTTTACCCACAAAGTTTTTTACTACAGTAGATTGAAACTGAACAGAGGGTAGTTGGAATCAGCTTGTTTTCAACAGTCTCTGGAGCCCACTAGATGCTCAAGCATTGAACAGCTGCTCCTTTCAGATGTCATAACAACTCTGATCAAAGCAGCATTCAGGGAGCAGCAGGTGGCACTAGGAATCTGCTCGCCACTCATGGTACCTTTGCTCCGCCCTCCGTCTCCCCAGCAGCTGTTAAAGGAGGTTCTGATGTGACAGTTACAGCTTCTACTCCGATGGACAAATCCGTTTGGAACAGAAAGCAAGTTTGGAAGCATAGTCGTCCCTCATTTATTGTGGTTACTTTGTTCCAGACTCTAGCGGTTGCACCTGGCGTTGAAGGATTCCTGGGGTGTTGAATACATAGTCCATACGTACAGTACTTTTAATTGTCATTGTAATACAGGGGTATATAATTGACTCAGGCAACCGAGCACGCGCTGTTTCATTTTCACTGTCTCGATCAACTTTTTAATGAATATTTTTTTAAAAACGGTGATAGAGTGAAGCCGCGCAAGTCGAAGCGCGAAGTGACGAGGGACGACTGCGGCTCTTGTCTTGGTTGGGTTCTTCATATTTCCCGTTCACAGGTTTTTTGTTTTTACCAATTAGTGTTGCACATCTTCCAATGCAAGTATGTTTCTGTTTATTAACTACTCTAAATATCAAGGCAAGCAAGTTCTTTGTACTGTACCTGTGGATCTATCCACCTTTGTTAGTTTATACAGACCTCCTAGTCAGTGACTTACTTATACACAGGCGTTCCTCAGAGGTGCAGGCTCATTTCCAGGTCGCCTCGGTGTTGATGGCTGCTAGCCGATCAGGGTGCTGGTCACTGAAGGCTGGGGTGGCCGTGGCAATTTCTTCAAGTCAGACAATGAAATTTGCCATATCCACTGACTCCTCCTTTTCTGAGCACTCTCTGGCGCGTGCGCTGTCATGTCAGCATTTTACCCAAAGGAGACCCCTCAAGGTTGCAGTCAGTCCTCTCCAGCCCGCCGCTGCTTTGTCAGCTAAGCTGATGTCATATTCTAAGTCCTTTGTTGTCATTTCAACAGTCTTCACAGCATCTTCCCCGGAGTAGATCCCATCTCACGAGACCACCCTCCGCTCATCCGCAGAAGCACCTCCTCGCCTCCGAGGTTCTGTGGTGCGATTACGGCCGTTCAGTCTGGTCTTCAGGCTCCACTTCTGAGTCTTGGCCTCCAGTTTCTGTACATTTTGGTCTGTGTACAGAAGAGCCCCTCAGATTTTCAAGCTCCGTGATCCCGAAGGGTTCCTAACCCTTTCTATCTCTGCTGTCTCCATCAAAACCAGACTTGGTTGTAACAGAGTTTCACTCTTGTCTTCACATCGTCCTTATCAAGCTAATCGGGGGGAATTTAGAGTAATTTCACAGGACAGCAAAGTCTGAGATGGTGGGGACCGTCTGACATCCCCTCTTTATAGGGCCACCTGCAGAGGGTATTTAAATCTGATTTAGATGTCAAATGACTCACTGAACCTCTGGATTCTCAGGCGTTTCACTTTGGGCTCATTGTCTCTGGCTTTCAGGGCAGGAAACACACGCACAGCAAGCACAGGTGAAAGCCAACAAGCGACACCGGGAGCCCCGGGCTGATGGGGACGAGGAGAACGCGGAGCCCCGTGCGAAGCATGTGAAACAGGACGTGGAGGCGGCACCTGCGGTGGCCAAGGACACGTTCTCCTACATGGGTGTGGCTTCCTTGGGTTGTTTATTTTTAATATCTATGAAACTATGTGTAAAAACTTGTCCCACTGTTTTACCGGGGGAAATTGGAGCGGTTTAGCATCCTCATTCTTTACTGCAAAGGCATTTTACTTAAAAATCTTTAAGGTTATTTATTTGTACTTGATCAAATGGTACGGAATCTTTACAGTTTGGGACATTCACAGGAAAACCATTGCGTAGGCTGCAGTGGACGGCACTGACCCTTTGAAACGTGTCCCCGTGAGCACGGCATCTCGGGTCACTTCAGACAGGCCCCGGCCAAAGCTCTGTTTATGACCCGTCAGCACCGTAGCCTTTCAGAGTCCACCTTGCAGACCGTGAGCTGCCCCGCCCTCCCTGAGGAGCAGGGTGGTCGTCGTCGCCGCCGCGTCCTGAACGCCAGGAGGCACCCGTTTGTGCTGACAGCGACGTCTCCTTGGGTCTTACCTGTAGGAACAGAAAGGAACAAGTAGCGTTTTTTAAAAATAAATCAGTGTATTTGTAGGGTCCATTCTTTTCCCAAGAAGAAGTCATTTTATAACTCAGTCAAGGGAAACCAATAGAAAACGTTTTGTCAACCTGTATCAGACCTCTGTAGATCAATTTTGTAATCAATTTTTCAATGATACTGAAAAATCCAAGGTTCGTGACTTGGTGACTGCCAGTGGTACTTGAACGTGCCTGTGGAGTGATGGGCCATGAGCCCCTCCCGGTGCTGACAGGTGCTTGGAGCAGTGTCACCGCTGCAGCCGGCCCGACGCTTGCAGCCGGGACAGTTCCGGGATGAGGGAGGGAGTTTGCAGTCGGCGGGAGCACCCGGCTCCTGTACCGGAGCAGGTCCACACCGTGCTCTCGGACTCCAGCCCGCTCCGGCCGGAAGCACGCCCCTCCCGCCTCTACTCTGCCCGGTCCGCCATCCTTTCGACAAAGGTCTCCTACGCATGTTGCCTCTGTTTGCTCCCAGACCCCTGTCCTGCTTGCTCCTGTCGCCCCGCCCATGTCCGGCTGATCAGTGGCCCGAGAGCAGCCTCAGGTCCGTCCTGCACGGTGTTCTCGCAGTGTTGGCACGGTGATCAAAGCCTCTGTCCCGATGGATGGAAGCAGAGACGAGGGGCCATAGTGTACTGGTGGCAACGACACTAGGAAAACAGACCGCCCTTTGTCAGGGGATTTGACCTTCTGGTGGGCAGGCCCCCATGGTACCCGGGCCCTGCCTGTCTGGGGGGACAGCTCCTGGGAGTGAGTATGACCCCCGTTACCCTGAGGCCAGTGGTCTTGTCCTGTGAGCCCTGCAGTGGGGCTGTGAGCAGCACGTCTCACAGCAGCGGGATTGTCGACCGAACAATGTCGTGCGCGTGCCTGGCGTGCGGGACCCAGATGGGAGTGGAGCCGGCAGAAAGCGCCCAGAGCCTCCACGCAGGGGCGGGTCGTGTGTTCTGGACCTGGAACTAGAGAACTGTGAAATGCCCTTTCGGTTGAAAATGCTGATTCCACCCTAGTAAACTTGGGGTGAACTTCGGTTTCTGTGAGGGGGGTACCAGCGGCACTCACTGAGCCTCCGTCTTCCAGGGGACTATGTCGTCGTCTACACCGATGGCTGCTGCTCCAGCAACGGGCGCAGGAGGGCGCGAGCGGGCATCGGTGTTTACTGGGGGCCCGGCCATCCACTGTGAGTAGACCGGGGAGGTGGGGTCTCCTAAGCTTCGGGCTTCACGGGGCGGTGGTCTGCAGCTGTCCAGATTGGGGCAGGGTCTGCTTGGAGTCTGGTTGTCTCCGAGCGGCTGTGCTGGGCAGCGGGGCGGCTTCGGTCCGCTCGGCCCTGGCAGCTCTGTGCTTCGGAGCAGGGACACCTGGGCGTTGCTGTGCAGCCGAACCTTGATGGCTCTGTGGCTCCCGGTAAAGTGTTACACCGGAATGACCTGCGGCCGCCCAAGTCCAGGTCTCCCTGGGGGGCGGTTTGGCAAGGATGCAGAGGGACGGGTCACAGGACCTGGAGCTCGTGTCACCCCGCATATCTTGACGATGTGAGCACAAGGTCGGCGTGCGTGAAGGGTGCTTGTGAAGGACTTGACTAGTAACGGACAGTACAGATCAGTGTGAAGGGAAGCAGCCCACGGGGTCGGGCTTTGAACCCTGTAGTTCCAGGTGCTCACAGCTGCGTTAGGCATGTTGATGTAAACTGTGTGTCTTTAAAAATCCCCTCTGCAGCCCTGGCCGGTTTGGCTCAGCGGTTAGAGCGTCAGCCTGCGGACCAGAGTCCCAGGTTCGGTTCCCGCTAAGGGCACATACTTCAGTTGCAGTTTGTCCCCGGCCCTGGTGGTCGTGTGGGTGGCAGCCACTTGTGTCTCTCACATCGATGTTTCTCTCCCCCATTTCCTTCCCGCTCTATCTGAAGATAATGCAAAAATGTCCTCGGGTGAGGATAAAAATAAATCCCCTCTGCGTTTCTCTGCAGCTGTGGGTCTGAGTCCTCTCACTCGGATGCATGTGGCCTCGAGCCCTGTGTGCGCTGGCGAACGTGTGGGCGCCCAGGCTGGGGGCCAGCCCAGGGCACACGCTTCTGCGTCGCAGGCCCAGAAGGCCTTCCTGCGCCCTGCTCCCGTGGCCTTCTGCACACCACGCGTGGCCCTTCTGTGCCCTGCTCCCGTGGCCGCGCACCACGCGTGGCCTGCTCAGTGCGATGCAGCTGTTGAGCATGAGTGCCAACACTCTCTATGATGCTTCGTGGTTCGTGTGAAAGTATGTCAGCTTGTAATTTTACTGTTTTCTGTACTGTTTTGAAACCAGAAATGTAGGCGTTAGACTTCCTGGGCGACAGACCAATCAAAGAGCAGAAATTCATGTAAGTTATCAAATATATTTTCCACTAAAAAGGGGTGTTATTTTTTAGTATTGACTATGAACGTAGTAGTGAACTTTTTATTGTCTCTGTCTAAGATACAGTTGTCCCTCGCCACTTCGTGTTTTGACTTTCGCGGTTTCACTCTATTGCAGTTTTTAAAAGAATCCTGCTTCGTGAAAATTCATTTATTCAGTAGTCTGGAACCGATTAACCGCGGTAAATGAGGGCCGACTGTATTCAAAGTCCAGAAGGAATTTACTGTGGGATTAGTCTCAATTTTGAAGGATAGGGGTTTTCTAGAGAAATTGTGAAACATTTCAGTAGATGTATAAACAGAATCGTGTACGTAGCATGATGTCACATGGGAATAGACATGCCGGTGAGCAGGGACGTGTCTGCGTCTGGGTGACCGGACGTGCGTGCTGTCGAAGGGGACCCGTCTCCGCAGCCTGACCTCCTCTTCTGTCCTCAAGGCCGCCTGCAAAGCCATCGGGCAAGCAAAGGCTCAGAACATCGCTAAGCTGGTGCTGTACACAGACAGCATGTTCACCATCAACGGTGAGCCTGGCTCGCGCTGTTTCTCGTGCTTTGTAGGAAACCTGCGGGGAAGTGGGGCTCCCCTCCCCCTGCAGGAGGTGCTGTGTTGGGGCCGGGCCCCCCTGTTAGTGGTGCCTGTGGTGTGTGGGGCATGAAGGAGAAGGTGCAGCTTCTGGATTCCTGGGTCTGCTGCTCCAGCTCTTGCCACGAGGGGTGTGTTTGCCAGGCACCAGGACGTGGCGAGAAGGTAGATACAGCCCTGCTCTGGGGCACTCCGGTCCCAGCGAGTGTGAGTGACAGGGTGGCGTGCGGGAGGCTCCGGGAAGGACCGTGTGTGAGAGCACAGGGCGCAGTGCTGGAGGCTAGGGAAGGCTTCCTGGAGGAGGTGGCGTCGTAGGCTGGGAGCTGCAGGCTGAGAGGGAAGAGAGAGGGAGTGTCTCAGGTCTGCCAGAGGCCAGAGCACAGCCTGGGGAGGAAATGCAAAGTCCCGCAGTAGGGGTGGGAGCACGGAGGGGGCAGTCCAGGGAGGAAGGCCCAGCACGTCAGACTCAGCCTGGGAGTGCGTCTCTTCCAGGCATCACTAGCTGGGTCCAGGGCTGGAAGGAGAAAGGATGGAGGACGAGCACCGGGAAGGAGGTGATCAACAAGGAGGACTTCATGGAGCTGGACAGACTTGTCCAGGGCATGGACATTCAGTGGGTGAGTGTCCTGTTGTCCGGGGCGTGGGCATTCAGTGGGTGCGTGTCCCGTTGTCCGGGGCGTGGGCGTTCAGTGGGTGAGTGTCCCGTTGTCCGGGGCGTGGGCGTTCAGTGGGTGCGTGTCCCGTTGTCTGGGGCGTGGGCGTTCAGTGGGTGCGTGTCCCGTTGTCCGGGGCGTGGGCGTTCAGTGGGTGAGTGTCCCGTTGTCCGGGGCGTGGACGTTCAGTGGGTGAGTGTCCCGTTGTCCGGGGCGTGGGCGTTCAGTGGGTGCGTGTCCCGTTGTCCGGGGCGTGGGCGTTCAGTGGGTGCGTGTCCCGTTGTCCGGGGCGTGGGCGTTCAGTGGGTGCGTGTCCCGTTGTCCCGGGGCGTGGCTTCAGTGGGTTGCGTGTCCCGTTGGTCCGGGACGTGGACGTCAGTGGGTGCGTGTCCAGTGGTCAGGACGTGGGCGTTAAGTTGGGTGCGTGTTCCAGTGTCGGGCCAGGTGGGCGTCAGTGTGGAGTGCTCAGTGGCCTGTCTTGTGACTGTCAGCACTAACTGGGGAGACAGTGCTTCCGAGACGACTCAGTGACGGAAGGAACAGCAGCAGCCCCCTGAGACCAGAGTCCTGCCGTGTGTCAGGGTCTGTGACCGTGGCAGCCGTGTAACCCTGCTGCCGAGCAGGAGGACGTCTCTGCGACGGGCGCACAGGCCTGTGTCCTTGCGTGTCCTCCCAGCCACACCTCACTGCTGACGTGCCCTGAGTGGTCAGCCTGCGGGGGTGTGGGAGCAGCTGTGGTGTCCATGAAGCTGGATTGTCATGTGTTGGTAGGGTTGTGCCATGAGATCTCAGTGACACGACTTTAAAGAACGGAAGTATTTTGTTATGATGACAGTCAAATTTCCCAAACACTCTGGAGCGTTAGACGGCACCCATTTTCCTGCCCCTGCCCTGCTGGGGGCCAGGACCTCGGGCGCTGGGTGAGCCCGCCTCCCAGACCAGCGCACAGCCCCCCCCCAGCCGCAGCCCTAAGAGGCTGTGCTGCGCACCGGCCATGGGCGCTCACACCTGCTTTGCCGGACAGCTCGCCACACCCGTCATGAGTGGGAGCAGCAACGCGGACAGTAGGACCCAGCCTGCGGGGAGTCGGTACGAACCTGTCCGTGTGCCCGTGACGTAGGAGGCAGGAGCCGTCACCGTGCGCGTGCTGCCGGGGGCGCTGGGCGGGCGCCTCCCCCACCTGCTCAGGAGGGAGCCCTCACTGTCGGGGTGCAAGAGTAAAAGGGGACTTCTGTCTGGCAGATGCACGTTCCTGGCCATTCGGGGTTCACAGGCAATGAGGAAGCCGACAGGCTAGCGAGAGAAGGCGCCAAGCAGCCTGGAGACTGAGCGGGCCTGTGGTCCGTGGACGGGGTGTCCCCGCGGCGAGAGGGGAGGGGAGACACCGCCCTGCGTCTGCGATGAGCGGTCAGGCTGTGGAGACGCTTTCAGGCCCGAAGCTCCTCTGACGTGTCGGGCGCGCTCTGTCGGGCCTGCTGTTCTCATCAGACTTACTGCGGTCGGGACGAAACTTCGGGCTGATACGTTAATAAACGTTGGCTAAGCAGTACAGACAAGTCTAGAAGCTTTCTGAAAGTGCAGGTGCCTTCCACTGGGCAGGGCTGAGTCTCAGGATTTGGGGGTTGGCTTGGGGCTGTGTGCAGCTCCCAGAAAGGCAGTGACCCCTGCGGAGGCAGCCTGCCAGGGCCCGCAGGGAGGCCTGGGTCTTACCTGGCCGGCACCGGGCACACCTGCACTTACGTAGCCCTGGCAACTCACCATATGTAGGAAAAGCTATAACTTAAAAAAAAATTTTTTTTAATATGTTTTTATTGATTTTAGAGACAGTGGGAAGGAGGGAGCGGGGGTGGTGGGGGCAACATCAATGTGAGATGGACACATCGATTGGTTGCCTCCTGCATGACCCCAACCTGGGCCAGGGATCAGCCTGTAACCCAGGTTCGTGCCTTTGATTGGGAATGGAACCCTCGACTTTGGTCTGAGGGCAGATGCTCCAACGGCTGGCACTGGTCAGGGCCCTTCTGACTGTTTGGCTGCTTGGAGTCCTCGTGCTTCTGCTCCCCCGGCCCCAGCACAGGTGTTACTTCTTCCGAAGACTGGCTTCTTGTTTGTGCCTCAGAAATCTTCAGCAAAACGTAAACTGGCCCTGGCTGGGTAGCTAAGTTAGTGAGAGTGTTATCCTGATATTCCAAGGTTGCAGGTTCGATCCCAGGTCAGGGCACATAAAAGAATCAGCCAGTGCCCGGCCAGCGTGTCTCAGTGGATGGAGCGTCATCCTATGGACTGAGAGGTCCCAGTTCCATTCCTGGTCAGGGCACATGCCCAGGTGGCAGGCTCCAGCCCCAGTAGGGGGCGTGCAGGAGGCACCCGATCCTTGTATCTCTCTCACATCGATGTATCTCTCTCTCCTTTCCTTTCTACCTAAAAAATGAATAAAAACATTAAAAAACCACCACCACCAATGAATGAATGAATAAGTGCAACGACAAATCGATGTTTCTCTCTCTCCTCCTCCCTCTTCCTGCCTCTCTCAAGTCAATTTAAAACAAAAACAAACTTAAACAGTTTCCCAACAATTGACATGAGGTGAAAGCACTGAGCAGTTTCCTGTCCTTTAGGGCAGTCCTAACGCCACAGTCCACGTGAGCTGTGGCAGCACCTGAGCTGCCCCACTGCTGTCGGCCACGCGCGGTCCCACGGCTTGGCGGGCAGCGCGCTCTGCCACGGGCACAGCGAGCTTGGACTGACCGCTTCAGCCCACTGGCCTTGCCCTGTTATTTCTGGACTTGCAGTGTTTTCGGAAGGGTGTTGGGAGGACTGTTTGGCAGTCCTGTGCGCCTCCCCACCCAGCCTTGCTCTCCACCCAGCCCTTTCTCCACCGCTGGGCAGAGGGGAGAGGAGAGGCTTTGACCTTGAAACTTGGCAAACGGTGTCCCAACTTCCGTGATGTGGAACACACTTGGGGAAACGCTTTATTGGAGCGTCTTGGGGCAGTATAATCCCCCACGGTGACAGACGAAGAGGGAGAGGGGCCTCACGCTGGAGCAAACCTCGGGTTTTCTCTCCATCCGGGGAGCACGGAGGTTTGGGATGGTTCCCTGAGAGCTGTGGACAAGCCCTGTGGCTGTCTTCTGTCTCCCTCCAACGATGTATTGAGACCAAGGGAAATGGTTTCCTTTTAATTAGTTGGAACAAAATTTTGCTGACTGGCCTCCAGGCAGCTGTTGAATGTTGCTCCCTTCCTTTCTCAGCTAAGAAAGTGCACACGCAGATGGCTCACTCCCTAGTGGTGAGTGGCATCACTGTGAGAATGACCACTGCATTTTCAGATCTGCACAGGAGCGCGCCACGGAGTTCCTGGCCGCCTGGCGTCAGTCTCCTCGTGCACGTGCTTGCGCGCTTCAGGCCCTCTCCGCGGGGCGGGGTCGTCCTGCTGGCCCGTGTTTACTGCAGCTAGACCCTGTGTTCCCCAGCAGACTCTTTGAAAATGCTCCTGGAACATTGTCACTTCTCATCGGGCGCTTGAGCGTAGCTCCCAGCTGTTGTGTCTCCCTGGCCGTCAGGCCCCTTCTCCCCTAACGGTCGCTGCGCTCAGAGCCCTGCAGCCCCTTCGTCTAGCAGACCTGAGCTGGGTGTCGGCTCTGATGCAGAGCTCCAGCCAGGCTCCTCCTCGGCGGCGCCCACGGCCCGGGAGTGGGCGGCCAGCACGCTGAGAGGAGAGGCTTGGCCACTCTTACTCTGTGGGTCAGAAGCACCCAGAACGTAGGCACCCTCGGCAGCGCAGTGTTTGTGGGGAGCACCTGCAGTGTGTTCGCCCCGTACTGTGCCTTCTCCCCGACACTGGGCAGGCTCAGCCTCCCCCAGGCCACCTGAGGCCCTCGGCCTCCCAGAGATCCAAGGGGTGGACCCGAGGCCCTAGCCGAACCACCTGGACTCTTCCGTGAGACTGCTCTCCAGACACTGCAGGTCCTGCTTGAATGACAAGCCGCACGGCCTTAGAGCTGCTGGTGACTTTCCTGGAAGATGGATGGAGAGCCAGGGCTGGGCTGCTGTGGCCAGGAGAGGGTCACACGGCTGGGCTAATTGGCTCACTCCTGTCGGCTGGGCTAATTGGCTCACTCCTGTCGCTGTGATCTTGCTGCTTCTATCCTAAGCCCTTCCTTTGCCTCACTGTCTCCAGCTTTAATAAACGTACTCAGAACCAGCTGGACTTGTGTCTTGAAATCTTTCCTGCTCGATGTCAACAATCCACACATTCTAAACTGCCGGGACAGACCCCTTATAACAGGGCAGTAAGAAGCTAGGAAAATGTCTAAGCAAGTGTAATGGGGAGACGAAGACAAGGGAATTAAACAAGGCCAAGCAGGGCAGCTTGCAGCTGGCCCTTATCTTCCCCAACCAGGGACGCTTGAGGGCAAATGGTTAACTCTCTCCTCCCCCACCAGAGAATACAAAGCTTAAATCACCTGGGACTGCAAAGGCAGGAGGGGGGAAGGGGGAAGGAAAAAAGGGAGAGTTTTATCTCAACCACCAAAGAAGTGAGCTGTCTTGGGGAAACGGGGAAAAGGGGAGTTTCTCTCACAGCAGAAAAGTCAACAGTCTTGGAACTTGATAAGATTGCCAGATGTTAAATTCTGGGACAGCCATAAGAAAGTAAAAAGGAGGCCTTGAAATCTAGTCTGCACCAAAATAACTGGCAGAGGAGTTTTAGAGTGTAGACGGGTATAAAATGCTAAACCCCAGCCAGGCAGTGCTCAGATTAGCTGAGAACCCATCTGCGCTTTATGCCAGATATATTTGGATAGATTTGCTTGCCTTCTTTAATAAATTTGCTTTACTACAATGCCACTGTCACTCATTTGAATTCTTTCCTACGAGCCTGACAAGGAGGGGACAGCCTCTCCCTCCAACTCGGGGCTGTCTGATAACACCTTGTCTGGTGTTTTGGGTGCCTGTAACAACCTGCCTCGGTCAGGTCCCTTCCAGGTGACAGATTGGAGGTGTTTTGAAGGTTCAAGCTATAGGACTGGCTGAGAGATTTGGTTGGACGTTGAGGGTGAAGGAGAGAAAAGGAAGCCCCCTGGACTCTTGGATTAAGCTGCTGGGTGGTGGGTGCTGCTTCGTCTGAGTCAGGCCTTTTAGGTGTGAGACACCTACTAGCCACCTGTGTGGCGATGCCAGTGAGACATTCAAACCAGGTCCTGGAAGACGTCCAGGCTGGAGTCATAGTTGGGCCATCGGCCTGTCACGGATGTAAGGTCTCCTACAGGGTGTGTGGACAGGAAAAGACAAGGAGAGGGCCCTGGGACACCACAACACTGTCCCCCTGGGGAGATGAGCCAGAAGAGGCACTGGGCTGGAATGCCCGGTGAGCAGTGGGAAGACAAAGAAAACGTTTCAGAAAGGGCGCTGGCCACTGGTGGATCTGAAGCAGTGACCCGACCTGGCAGCGCTGTCCTCGGTTCCCTATCAGAGCTGCCTGAGTGCTGGGGACAAGCTTTCCCCAGGTGGCGGAGAGTGGGGCGGGGCGACAGGTGCAGCAGGAAGGTGGCAGCGGTGGCTTGGGTGGAACCCCAGGGATAAGCAGTGACGGGTCAAGAGGTAGGCTCTCTAATGACGTGGAGAAAGAAAGCAAGTTAATAAATGTGCGTCCTGTACAGCATTTCTGAAAGGCCCAGGGCCGATCGTGTACTTGGAAATGTGCTACCGTAGAGCAGCAGTCTGGTGTAAGTCCTGCAGGTTTTCAGTGACTTGACCCCTGGGTCGAATGGCTGAGACAACCTGATCTGTTTTTGTTAAACCTCACCTGACGAATTTTCTGCCTTGATTTTTAGAGCGGGGTGGGGGTGACCAAGAGATGTGAGAGAGAGACATGGGTTGGTTGCTTCCTGCACTTACCCCAACCTGGTGGCCGATCAAACCTGCAAGCCAGGTACATGCCCTTGACCAGGAAAGGAACCAGAGACTATTGTTCTTGGGCCAAGGCTCTAACCATGGAGAATGCGGGCCAGGGCACCTGATCCTTTTGGGCTGATTGCTTTAAAAAGATGAAGCTAGGCAGATTGGGCAGCTGGACCGACTTCTCTAATCAGCTAAATTGGTAAGACACACAAGAACTAGGAAGGGGAGTTTGATTTTCTTCGACTTTGTCTTTCTTCTAGGACACATTATATTTGTCATTGGTTTTTTTGTTGTGTGTGCGCGTGTGTTTTGTTTCACTTTGTGTTGTTCTTTTTCGGGGACACATTCTATCTGAACCCCCAGGGCAGCGCTGCAGACGGTCGCTATTGCAGAAGTCACGGGGATGGCCAGAGTCTGCAGACTTGATCTGGCTGCAGGGGTGGGACAAACTCGTTCACTCTGGCCTCGGATCTCCGTGCGGCGGACCATCGCTGCTCGAGCTCCGTCAAGCTTTCTGGACAAGCCTGGGGGCTGCAGCCGCCAGGAGGCACCACGGGGCCGAGGCCGGCCTCTCCGGCGCTGCCGTTTCGCCGCCCGGCCCTGGGAAGAGTCCGGAGCCCGCCGGCCCCGCCGGCCCCGCCCACCCTCCGGGCCCAGGTCCCAGGTCCCAGGTCCCAGGTCCCAGGTCCCAGGTCCCAGGTCCCAGGTCCCAGGTCCCGTGCAGCCTGGTCCCGCCCCGCCCGCCCTCCGGGCCCAGGTCCCAGGTCCCGCCCCGCCCGCCCTCCGGGCCCAGGTCCCGCCCCGCCCGCCCTCCGGGCCCAGGTCCCAGGTCCCAGGTCCCGTGCAGCCTGGCCCCGCCCCGCCGGCCCCGCCCACCCTCCGGGCCCAGAGCCCGTGCAGCCTGGCCCCGCCCCACCCCGCCCACCCTCTGGGCCCAGGTCCCGTGCAGCCTGGCCCGGCCCCGCCCCGCCGGCCCCGCCCACCCTCCGGGCCCAGGGCCCGTGCAGCCTGGCCCCGCCCACCCTCCGCCGCCATGGTGCAGGCCTGGTACATGGACGATTCCGCCGAGGACCCCCGCCAGCCCCACCGCGCCGAGCCCGGCCGCCCGGTGGGCCTGGAGCAGCTGCGCCGGCTCGGGGTCCTATACTGGAAGGTACGCGGGGGCGCTAGGTGTCCCTTTAGGTCCCCCGATCCCGCGCGCACCTCGGCCCCGCACTGCGCACGCTCAGCAGCGGCGCCACGGTCGGCCGCCTGCGGGCGCTGCGCATGCTCTGCAGTAGGGCCGGGTGGTCGGCGGCTAGGGTGCACTGAGCATGCTCAGCAGCTAGGCGGGGTGGTCGGCAGCTAGGGAGCAATGAGCATGCTCATTAGCATGGCCGGAGGTCGGCGGCAAGATAGTGCTGCGCATGCGCTGCAGCAGGGCCGGTGGTCGGCGGCTAGGGTGCACAGAGCATGCTCAGTAGCAAGGCAGCGTGGTCGGCGGCTAGGTACACTGAGCATGCTCAGTAGCGTGGCCAGGTGGTCGGCGGCTAGGTACACTGAGCATGCTCAGTAGCGGGGCCAGGTGGTCGGCGGCCGGGGGAGTGCTGCGCATGCTCTGCAGCAGCAGACGGGTCCTGGGAGAGTCCCGCCCCCCTCCCCCCGGCCCTGGGTGCCCCCGCTCCAGGCCGTACCCCGTTGGGACCGGCGTGCTGGCGTCGGGCGGGCTGAGGTGGGGGCCGCGGGGAAGGGGGGTGCGCGTCCAGAACGGAATCCAGCCGTCGTGTGTGTGTGAATTTCCACGGTGTCTTCCCCTCCCTGGGCCACGGTGCGACACGTGCAGGCAGTGAGAAGGGTTAAAGGTCGTGGTGGCAGAATTGATGCAGCCCCGTGCAAAGAAGCCGACGGGCCACGGGCCTGCCCCGGGGCGCCCCCTGGCTTTGCGGCTTTAGGGGCGAAGGAGACACTGAACCTCCAGGCGTCCCGGAGGATAAGGGGGCCCGTGAAGGGCCGTCCCTGGGTGCACCCGGTTTTCCTACCCGCTCGCTGCCTGACGACAGCCCCAAGGCCTGCGAGTTCAGAGGTGTGGACCGGCCCCCAGGCCGCTCGCGGGGCGCTTCTGCAGTCCTGTGGGGCACAGCGGAGGGACGGGGCGCGCCCGGCACACACAGCGGGACGCCAGCTGCCAGGCCCGGCGGTGGCGGGCACGCGCGGGGCTCCCCGGGGGCATCTCTGCAGAGAGTAACGCGCTGATGGCCGGTTCTTCGTGGGGCTCGCTGAGCACTCGTGACGCTCACGACGCAACGCGTTTCATTGCCGCTGAAGGCAGAGCGCGCTGAACGCCCTGCCGGAGGTTATTGATTTGTGAGTCCTCCCGAGGACATTTTCCCATTGGTTCTCAGAGAGAGTGGGAGGGAGGGAGGGAGGGGGACACATCGGTGGGCTGCCTCCTGCAAGACCCCCGCTGGGGCCGGATCCAACCTGCAGCCCAGCACCTACCTGCCCTGACCTGGGGTTGAACGCGAAGCCCTTCCCTCCATGGCGGCGCTCTAACTCCTGCCGTACCCGGTAGATTCAGCTCGGAGTCCAGAGGAAGTCTGCCGGCTCCCTGGTGCTTCACGAAGGGGACAGGAGTAGGACCTTGGAGACGGGCAGGATGTGATAGTGAGCAGGTGGCAGAGTACGTGGGAGGGCCAGGTGCCAGGGCGTGGGGAGGAGGAGCGCCCAGAATTTTTGACGACGAGCAAATACTCCTGTTCGGCTTACAGTGTAGATAGACCTTCTTTTTAAACAGGGAATAGGAACAGGGGGGAAGAAAAGGCACCTGGGGCCTGACGCAGACTGATGAACCTGGACCTTACCTGTAGGCGCAGACGCTCTGACCCAGGGAAGCCCACTCACCTCAGAGCTCAGCTGGACTGTGCCGTGGAGGCTGTCCCAGGACCCCGGCTGGGGAGGGCGGGGTGTGGACAGACTGGGGGCCCGTGAGCGTGCCACCTAGGCTCCTGGCAGTGGGACCCCGGGGTGTGGAGAGGACCCTCCAGTAAGGACGTGGGCAGCAGGGAGGTAGGAAGTAAACACAGCTGCGTTATTTTTAGCTGATAGGGAGACGGAAAACCATTCCCAGAGGTGGGAAGGGAGGGGCAGGAAGGTTGATTAGGACGGACAGGTGGCCGGTCTGGCTGGAGACAGCACACCTGGTCCAGAGGGAGCATGTCTGCCTCCCTGTGTTAACGTGAGCCCCCTTGTGCAACTGTGTAGTTGGATGCTGACCAATACGAGAATGATCCAGAATTAGAAAGGATCCGGAAAGAGAGGAACTACTCCTGGATGGACATCATCACCATATGCAAGGACAAACTGCCCAATTACGAAGAGAAGGTAAGGGCTCTAGGTTCATTAGAAAGGGGAACCGTTAAATTCACTCCTCCTACAGTTTTTTCTTTTTCTAATTAATTTCTACTTTCTAAATGCTTTTATCTTAAATTTTTTTTCTCTTAATGTCTCCATGTGGATTTTATATCAGAGTAATGCATATTTGATTATTCTTATTGTAAGATATTAGGGGGAAAGTCACAGAAATAGATTTCAACAAATGGAAATTTCTGATTAAGGAGGTGAGTGCCTCCCCAGGTTTTCATGTGGCTTCTGATCTTCCAGTGTGACCATGACTGCGTGTGACCTGTGTGTGAGCAGCAGGACTGTGTGTGGTCACGTGATTGCATGTGCGATTGTGTGGCTGCGTGTGGTCATGTGATCTGCGCGACTGCCATGTGCAGTAGGTCATGAGCAGGAGCCACAGCATCTGGGCGCCCTGGCTCTGCATGTGCAGGCTGTGTGAGGATGGGCCAGTGGCCCAGCCTCTCTGTGCCTCATTTTGGCATTGGTCAGATGGGCCTACACAGCACCAGGTGAGTCACACCTGCAGACTGTTCAGAGCCTCGCCTGGCACGTAGGTACTGAGTATGAATTCTTTTCCTGGTAGTTGGTGTGTAGGTTTCATTAGATATTATAGCTCCTGCCCCCTTCTACTTACTATAATGCCTCTTACTGTTACGGGGAGAATCTGCAGCCCTCAGTTCCGGTCCCTGAGGTTGGGTCTGTGCCTGCTGCAGGCTGGGTCTGCGGCAGACTCAGGGTGTCCCTCGCGCTCTAGATTAAGATGTTCTACGAGGAGCACTTGCACCTGGACGACGAGATCCGCTACGTGTTGGACGGCAGTGGGTACTTCGACGTGAGGGATGAGGACGACAGGTGGATCCGGATCGCCATGGAGAAGGGAGACATGATCACCCTCCCTGCGGGGATCTATCACCGCTTCACGCTGGACGAGCAGGTGGGGCCCTGTGTGCACACAGGCCGGAGGACAGACTGTGGCTAGCGTGCAAGACCCACGAGTTGACAACAGCGACTCCGGCTGACCCGTGCTGGTGTCTTGTGTCTTCCAGAACTACGTGAAGGCCATGCGGCTGTTTGTGGGGGAACCGGTGTGGACGGCGTACAACCGGCCAGCCGACCAGTTCGCTGCCCGGGGGCAGTACCTGGCGTTCCTGGCGCAGACAGCGTAGCGTGCCCCGCCCGCACCCTCGCCCTCTGCCCGTCTGAGTGGAGCAGTAGGCCTGCCCTGCTCCCGCTCTGACTGGTAGCCTGGAGGCCGGGCGAGCTTTCCTCCGGAAGGCCCTTCGATCAGAGGACATTTTTGTGAGAGCAGCCGTTGAGTCTGATTTTTATGTAGAAGCCACTGTGGGAATGTGGATGGTCACATTCCTTTTCTCTTCTCCTGTGGCCCTGTGCCCACAGGCATTCCACTCGAACCCGGGAGAGCTCCCGGGAGAGCTCCGTGTCCCCAGGTGCCACTGCCTCGCTGCCCCAGGGGACCTGATTCTCAAGCTCCGTAGGCACTGCAGTTGGGGCCATGCCTGCCTGTGAACCTGGAGGGGCTGGGGGTACAGCACCCCTCCCCCTCTCCTCTCCCAGACACTGGGGGCCAGGGAGCCTCACCCTAGGGGAACTCTGGGACAGTGGGGGCCAGGGAACCCTCACCCTAGGGGGACTCTGGGACAGTGGGGAGCGGGGAGCCTCACCCTAGGGGGACTCTCGGACAGTGGGGAGCGGGGAGCCTCACCCTAGGGGGACTCTCGGACAGTGGGGACCGGGGAGCCCTCACCCTAGGGGGACTCTGGGACAGTGGGGAGCGGGGAGCCTCACCCTAGGGGAACTCTGGGACAGTGGGGAGCGGGGAGCCTCACCCTAGGGGGACTCTGGGACAGTGGGGATTGGGGAGCCCTCACCCTAGGGGGACTCTGGGACAGTGGGGATTGGGGAGCCTCACCCTAGGGGGACTCTGGGGATTGGGGAGCCTCACCCTAGGGGAACTCTGGGACACTGGGGGCCAGGGAGCCTCACCCTAGGGGGACTCTGGGACAGTGGGGATTGGGGAGCCCTCACCCTAGGGGGACTCTGGGACAGTGGGGATTGGGGAGCCTCACCCTAGGGGGACTCTGGGGATTGGGGAGCCTCACCCTAGGGGGACGCTGGGACAGTGGGGGCTGGGGAGCCCTCACCCTAGGGGGACGCTGGCCTATTCCTCCCACCCCCTTGTTTAGAGTAGCTGCCTCCTGTTTGTGCTTGGGCTTGGAGTCACCTTACATTCAGGTTCACGCAGCTTGTTAAATTCACCCCATTTAGATCCTTTGTGATCATAATCCGCATATAATTAATTTTTATTTTACCTGTTAGTCTTTGTTCAGTGTGAGATTTCCAGCTTAAGCCCCCTGCTATGTACCCTGTTAAAATCAAGCATTTGGATTCTAACAAGAAAATGGTACATTAATTTTTTATTCGTAATTCTGAGGTGCAGTTATGCCTAGTCTGTCATAATCATTAAAAAACCCAAACAGCTGTTATGTTTTGAAGGGCAGGTTAAGTGTTTCTAAACCTGGAATAAAAACCTCCGCGTGAGAGTTTATCTTCCAGAACCAGTGTCTGTGCTGGAGTCCTGGGCCGAGGGGGGCAGGGCGGTGCTCAGGGGGGTCTGTGCTGGAGTCCTGGGCCGAGGGGGACAGGGCGGTGCTCAGGGGGGTCTGTGCTGGAGTCCTGGGCCGAGGGGGGCAGGGCGGTGCTCAGCGAGTGGGATTTCTGGAGCGGTCACTCCCAGGGGAAGGGAACCGCCTGCCATTGGGGCTGGGTCGGAGCAGAGCCACCAGCCGGGACAGTCCCCCGCCTCAGCGGGCTCGGGGGAGCAGACCGGCCTCCGAGGTGCCCGCTGCAGGGTGAGGCTCTTCAGTGGTGGAGGGAGTCAGATCAGGGTGACAGGCTAAACTGGGAACAGTGGAATAGCGTTGCCACTGGTGGTTTGCACCGTGGGGGGAGCCAACTGCTCCCACTCTCCCCTTCATTCCCCTCCCCCACCCAGCCACTGCTGGTGGGCCAGGGAGGCCCCTCTCACCACCTGCTGCGCCCCCCCAAAGGGTGTACCACGTCAACTCAGGGTGCACTGGGCTGCAGCACACTGACAGCAGACCTGGGGAACCCCCCCTCTGGAGAACTGAACTGTAAGAAAATATCTGTGCAGGTGGAGGGCGCCCGCCTCCGGCCCCCAGCCAGGCCCCTTCCTGCCCCTGCCGCTGGGGGTGCTCAGCTCTGTTAGAGGCCTGCGGGCTGCACACCCCGGGGCTGAATCAGAGCTGCCAGTCCTGCCCCCATGAGACAAGGCTCCATTTTGGAAAAGGCTGCAGTGGTGGTGGTGGTGGGGGGGGGCGCACGTGTGTGGACCCCAGCCGTGGGCCAGGAGAGTGGAGATTCCCTAGCTCTCCCTCCTGTCTGCTTGGCTGGGCCCTGAGGAGGGCAGGAGGGGCCTGGGTGGGGCTGGGGTGAGGAGCACCGGAGATGGGGAGATGGGGTCGCCATGGGGTCGCCGGACAGGGGCAGGGTCTGGGAGAAGCTCCCACGAGCCCACACCCGCGGCCCCTCTCAGTTAAGAGCCTTCAGGCCGCTCCCCTGAGGGCAGGGCCCTTTTCTGAACTTGTCTTCTGTCTCTGGAAGTTATTTTTCAGAGTGTGCCCTTGACTGCCCGGGGTCTGGACACCGGGAGCCCACAGGCGGAGAGGCTGCCAGGTGGCAGGGTCGGCGAGGGGCCTGGCCTCCCCGTGGGAGTAAGTGTGCGGGGGGAGCCCTCCACCGGACCCGCCCTTGGCCTCCGTTGGTGTTTGTGTCCTTTCTCGTGGGTTATTTCAGACTCACCAGCTCTAAAGCCGTCAGTCTCCGCTGGCTGAGGCCCCCTGGTGGAGGGCGGCTGGGGGACGTCCTTAGGTTCGCTCTCGCCCACATCCCGCCCGCCTGCTCCGGCCTCTATCTGAAGCCCTCCCGGCAGCCCTGCTGGCCCGAGGTCAGCGGTCGCCCCAGGACACAGGCTGGGGTATGGGCCAGGGCCTCTGGCCGGCAGCTGCCTGGGCCCTTGCTCTCCCGGGAGGCACAGGGGTGGCCTCCATCTCCACAGCCTCCCCGGAGACAGCGGGTGTGGACAGGGCAGCCCCACCCCAGCCTCCCTGTGGCCTCGGGAAGGTTGCCTAGGCTCTCTGCGCAGGGCTGAGGGGAGGCCCACAGGACAGGCTGCAAGGCTCGGCTGGGCACCCCGACAGCGCGAGCTTGTTTCTGGGGTTTCGTCTGCTTTAGTCCACACGCACCTGCTACCCAGCCTATGGCGGTGACCGGTCAGCGGGCCTCAGCGGGGCCTTTGCTGGTGTGGTTAATAAGACCTCGCCGAGATCATCCTGGACTCGGCCAGCCCTAGAGCCAAGGGCAGGGCTGCCCTGACCAGGACAGGAGAGACGCAGGGAGACGCGCGGACGGGCAGGGCTGCCATGACTCCGCCCGCCCAGGCCGAGGCTGGGGGACAGGCGTGGGACCCTGCTCTGAGCCCCAGAAGGGACGGATGCAGTGTCTGGCCTTGAACTGAGAGGAGGGATTTCTGTTCTCCGCTACCAGTCTGGAGATTTGCTACAGGAGATTCAGGAAATACCGCCTGGTTTCCGTCGTCCAATGAGAATCTTCAGGTCAGAGGGCTCAGCTCCCCACCCAAGTCCGCCTGCTGAGAGGGACAGGACCCCCACCCTCGCTGGCCCCTCTCTGGTCCCCCATCCTGCAGCCAGCGTCTCCCGTGGTGAGGGGGTGGAGGAGGGTGCGAGACAGCACCCACGTCCCCCACCCCTAGCATTTCTTCAGGAAAGTGAGTCTTGGGACCACAGGCCTGGGAGGAGGAGGGGCGTCCACGTGAAGCTGTCCTGATGGCTCCATGGAAGCCAGTCCCTCCAGCCCTGCTCCGAGCTCCTGTTGTGTTTTTCACTCCTCACCAGAGTATGTTTATTGATCTCTGGGGGGGGGGGGCATGGATGAGAGAACATCCCCCACAGCCGAGCCGCCCGGCCAGGGGAGCACGCAGTTATGTGCCGGCATGTTCTTGTTCCAGTGACTCCCCGACACCCCTCGTCCCCAGTGATGCAGAGCAGCAGGCCAGTCCGCGGTGCTCAGCAAGGCTGAAGGCCTCCGGCGGGGCGGGCAGGAAGCGGGGCTGTCAGTCACTGGGGCCTGTCAGTCATGGCTCTCCGCTCAGACAGAGGGAGAGGTTACATTGTTTCTAAGTTTGCCTCCCAGGAGATGCAGAATGAACAGACCAAGCAGCTCAGCTTCCGGCAACAAACAGAAGGGACCTGTGCGGCCCCTAGACTTTCTCTATCCCTGCACCATGCGACCTGCAGTTTACCCAGTACTCACAGGGCCGAGCGGCGGGAGCGCCGGCTGGAGCTGCACACACTGCCCGACAGCGTGGCCTCGGCTCCGGACCCCAGTCCTGGGGCGCAGCTGTGGCCGTGCCTAGGCCAGCTTGAGGCACTGCGTGTTGAAGCTGTCCCCTTCCGAGCCGGCGACGGCCTGCAGCAGTGCCTGCTTCTTCTGTGCGCTGCGCGAGGACTCCAGCTCGTACATGGTGCTCAGGTTGAAGAGCACGCTCTCGTGCAGGGAGTGCGCGGGGCCCTGCTGCACCATGGCCTCCAGCTGCCGCAGCGAGGCCTTGAGCTGGCCCAGGTAGAGCAGGCACACGGCGGCGTTGTTGTGGGCCTAGGAGAGCACACGGCTGCACTGCCCGCCCGCAGCTGGGCTCTGGGCCGGGGCGAGCAGGCGGAACCCCAACCACCCGGCCACCCCCTGGGCCGTGGGCCTGGCAGGGCCGCTGAGTCCACACGTCCAGGCGTCTTACCACTGCGTTCGCTGGGTCGATCCTCAGAACTTCGGTGAAGAACCTGTGGGCTCCTGCGAAGTCATTCTGACCGAGGTGCAGGAAAGCTCTGCGGCGGGAACGCGGGGTCACCAGGGCGGGGAGCTGGTGCCCAGCCAGGGCCCAGCCTCAGAGGGCAGGGCGGCGCTGGCTCAGGTGAGACCCGAGCAGTCTGGGGACAGAGCCTCCAGGTGGACCGCAGGGCTCCAGCTGGAATGGAAGAGCCCCGCCCCCTCCTTCCCCAGGCACTTGACCTTCGCTCCCAGCTCCTAGGGCCCTGCTTTTTTGCCTTTGAAACTTTCTAAATTAACTTGCTCTTAAAAAAAAAAAAAAGTGGCCTGCCCTGGCCGGTTTGGCTCAGTGGTTGGAGCATCAGCCTGTGGACCAGAGAGTCCTGGGTTCGGTTCCCACCAGGGGCACATACCAAAGATAAATAAATAAATAAAGGGCGCACTGTCATTTTAAAATTAAAAAAAAAAAAAAAAGTGGCCTGGCTGGTGCAGCTCAGTAGATTGAGCACCATCCCATGGACTGAGAGGTCCTGGTTCGATTCCCAGTCGGGGCACATGCCCAGGTTGCAGGCTCGATCCCCAGTACGGGGTGTGCAGGAGGCAGCCAATCGATGTATCTCTCACATCCACATTTCTCTCTCTCTCAAAAAATAAAAATAAAAACACATTTAACAATAAAGATGAATCACTTTATAAAGAAAAGGCGGACGGCGGGCACTGCAGTTCTCTCCTGCTGTGAACAGTCCCGCCTCAGCTGCCCTGTTCCCGGGCGAGCGTCACCCGGGCCTCACGTTATACTGAGTGTCTCGCCCGTATGAGCCATTCCCAGAACACGGCCGAGGAATCACAGCCGGGCGCTGGAGACAGCACACACCGATGCTGACTTATGTTGGAAACGGGGCAATGGGTGGACTTGGGGAAGTGAAGAAAAAAACCTTAAAGAAACAGGATTGTAATTCAAGAGAACACCGGCACACCCCTGGGTCTACGATCCGCTGTCTGGGCTCTGAGCCCCGGGCAGGAAGGCCACTCCGAGGGCTGTGCCACTGAGCAGCGCTACTCGGGGCCAGGAGCACACCCTGCGGGAGCCGCTCACCTGTTCATCAGAACCATGCTCTTCCCCTGCAGTCCGTCCAGTGTCTGTGCCACTTTCTCCACGTCTTGGAAATATTTTTCAGCCGTTTTTATGTCTCCAATCTGCTCTGATAAAATCACTCAGTCAGCTCAGGTGACAAACCACAGTCACACATGTGACCCTGCGTCACGTTGTGAAGATGCCACGTGTCGGGCAGGGCACGCTGACTGTTCCCAGGTCGTTTCTGTGAAAAGGCCTGAGCTGTGAGGACGGAGCAGGATGGGCCTCCCTCCCAGAAGGCGACCTCACACACAGGCCACGAGAACACAGAACGGTTTTCAGTCCGTACCCTTGAAAACCTGGGATAGTGTGTAGTAGAATAAAAACAAAATAAACGACTGAAAAATTATAAAGTATAACATTTGCTGCTTGTTAGAACAGGGCAGGCCCCAAATCCGTTTTTTTGGTTGGTTGTGACCAGTGACATGATAGAGCCACATGTAAAATTTTCTAGGTCATATTTTGAAAAAGGAAAGAAACAACACACCCACTCTCATCAAACAGGAGAAGCCCCTGAGCCCCTTGAACACACAGAGCCAGACTCGCCGAGGCCTCTGGCGCCCCCACGCCACTGCCCGGCAGCAGGGCTCTGGTGCCCCCCACGCCGCCACCGCCAGCCCTGGGCTTGAAAGCAGGAGGGAGTCGAGCTCTGAGGCTGGGAGAACTGCTGGGAAGGAAGACAAGCCTGTGTGACCAGAGCGTGCACGCCAAGGGGAAGCCTGTGTCCCCGTCACAGTGACAGCCAGGGCCCTACCAAGCAGGCCTCTGTCCACAAACCCCATCCCAGTGACAGGAGGCCTGAGCCCCCGCATTCTGGGCAGCAGGGGAGCCGAGGGGTGGGAACCGGCACCTGCCACTCACTGCCAAGCCGCACAGACCCTGCAGCTGGGCAGAGCCTGCCTGCTCCTAGCCCCCCGCCGTCCCCGAGGGAGGCCAAGGGCAGGCCAGGTGCTGACGCCAGCAGCCACCTGCATCCAGGTCGGGACTCGGCCACTGCAGCTCCGCCTGCCACCCGGCAGTGCCCGGAGCCAACTGGGCTGGGTGTGGGGTGACCACAGCGACTGGCCACACAGCTCCTGAACCTCATGCTGAGCCGTGGTGTGAACCACGCTGCTTGGGCCGTGAGGTTGGGAGAGGGCAGGCACCTGTCTCGGGCCGCACGGCTCACGTAGAGCCCGGGCGCAAGGTGGCTCCACCAGTCTGGACCACGCACCGGCCCTGCGCCCACGTGCAGTTGGCACAGGCCTGGCACAGAAACTGCGTTAGTAGGAAACAGAGAAATCGTGGAATATTCTCCACTGCCTACTGACTGTCCTGGTGATTAGAAACTTTACATCTTCATAATAGTGATAACTATTATTTAAAATTTTTTTTACTTATTTTTTTTAGAAAGTGGAGGTGGAGGAGAGAGAGGGGGGGGGGAGAGAGAGAGAGACGACTGGGCTGCAACTGGGGCAGTGCCGAGGGGATCGAACGGGAACCCTTCAGTGCACGGGCGATGCCCGAACCTGAGCTACAGTGGCAGCGCATGTCTTCATAATTGTTAAAACACTATTAGGCCCTGGCTGGTTTGGCTCAGCGGTTAGAGCGTCGGCCTGTGGTCCAGAGAGACCCGGGTTTGGTTCCCGCTAAGGGCATGTACCTCGGTTGCAGTTTGTCCCCGGCCCTGGTTGGTCATGCGGGTGGCAGCCACTCGATGTGTCCCTTTCACATTGATGTTTCTCTCTCTCTCCCTCCCACTCTATCTGAACAAAAAATGGAAAAATGTCCTTGGTTGAGGATATAAAAAAACAAAAACACTATTAGGATTTGAACTCTGATTTTCTAAGAGAAGCAACTTAGGAAATAAAGTAATATAGTAAAGGCAACTGAAAGTATTGCAGAACATCTAGTAAGCAAGCAAATAAACCAACCTAGTTATTGAAAGAAAACAACCTAGTTATAATAAAGAAAGAAGGAAAACAGTAAGTGCACGGATGGACCAAGGAGAGCCGGCACGATGAACCAAAGCGCACATGTAAAGGAGCGACGACTCGTGGGAGGAAGGAGACGGCGGTGACGGGAGAGGACGTGTCCTGGACCTGCGCCGACGCATGTGGGCTGCGGTCCAGAGGCGGTTCCCAGGCTCCGAATCCCCAGGCTCGGCCCCGAGACAGACAGACGCCTGCCCGCAGAGAGCGTTCGGACAGTGAGCGATGAGAAAAGGCCGCTGTTGCTGCCGGCAGACTCGAGAGCCTGGCAAGGCATTTCGTAGGTGGGTTATTCAGCCCTTCAGGGAAGAGACGTTCCAAACTCTCCGAACTGTGCGGAGCAGAGAAAGGACGCTCCGCTGCCCGCGGACAGCCGGCACACGCTGCCCAGTGCTCTGGAGAGCACGCCTGTGCGCATGCACGGGCCCAACCCAAAGAGCCACTTCCCTTCGGTTCTGATGCAGCTCCGTCCTGCTCCTTCCGGAGACAAGGCCCAGGTGAGCTCCCGAGGGCACAGATCTCATGGGCGCCCCTGCGTTCCACTCGGGGACCTTGGCCCCTTCACTCCGTCCGCCTGGCCTAGACCTGAGTTCCATCACTGAGCTGAACAGCCCAGTTCTCCCAGCTGCTGGCCCTGCATCGAGCTCCTCACTACCTCAGCTGCCCTGAAGTGGGGGGACTGTCAGTGACCCAGGCCCCCCCCACACCCGGGGAGGGACAGCACCCACCTGAAGGAAAATCCTGCCGATGCCGCTGAGCAGCTGCGGCTCCTGCTCGGGGCAGGCCTGGATGACGCAGCGGTAGGCGTCCACAGCCAGCACGTAGTCCTGCGAAGAGAGCCCAGAGGTCTGAGGCCAGAGAGTGCCCTGAGTCCCCAGACCCCCCCCCAGAGGACAGCGCCACAGGAGACCCAGTGAGAGCCACCAGCCTGCCCGGGAGCACGTGCTCACCCCCACAGGGCAGAGGGACCGAGTCCTCGCCCTCAGGGGTTGGAGGCCCAGGCCTCTGTCCCCGCCCCCGCCAGCAGCAGCAGCAGTTCCCTGCACCACTGTGCTTTCAAGCCTTTCAGTGCGAACAAACAGAGCCCGCGCTGACGATCCCTTCATGAAATGGTTTCTTTGAGAGAGAGTGGAAGGGAGGAGAGACAGACAGAGCAACACCGATGTGAGAAAGATGGGTTGCCTCCTGCATGCACCCTGATTGGGGTGGGGGATTCAACCTGCAACCCAGGCTCGCTCTGAAGAGGCAGCCATGCCAGCCAGGGCGCAGCATGGTCTCTTTCCCGGAGGCGGGGAGATGCAGCCCTGCGGAGGGGGGGGGGGTGCTCCGGAGCCAGTCCGCACTGCGGGTGGTGGAGCGGCTCCCAGGGTCAGCTGCTTCGGCTCAGTCTCCACCCCTCTCCAGCAGCTGCACCTGCTTGATGGCCGCCACAGCCGGTCTCCACTGGGAGCACGCAGTGGTGCATGGCTGATGGGCAGTGAGCTCGCACCCCTGCAGGGCCTCAGGGCCACTGTGACGGAGACAGGGACACTTCGGGGGAGTGAGCCCGCCGAGCTCAGTAGGTGGAGTGTCCTCCTGTACACCCAAAGGTTGCGGACTCAGTCCCTGGTCAGGGTGTTATGGAGGCTACAATCCATGTCTCTCTCTCTCACTGATGTCTCTCTCTGTCTCAGATCAATAAATGTATCTTCAAGTGAGGATAAAAAATAAGTAAAATAAAATAAAAGTGACAGGTGCCCTGGCTGGTTTGGCTCAGCAGTTGGAGCGTTAGCCCACGGACAAGAGTCGTGGGTTCGATTCTGGCCAAGGGCATGTACCTCGGTTGTGGTTATTTAAAATAATTAAACAGCTGATTAAATAGCCCACTGTTAGCTCATACACACGATTTAATTGGCGATATCACATATCAAGACCACACATGCCTGCAATGCTAGGTGCGCCCACTAGATGGCAACAGAAAGCACAAGCTTGAGCAGCCTTAATTGCAAAAATTTTCACTCCTTTAACTCATAGAAATGAAAAATTAATCTAAAATCTCGAATTCATGGCACTCATTGTGGAAGTCTCTGAAATGCAGCGCTGTTCTGTGCCGCCCTCCCCTGTCCTGTAACACGCAGGCGGAGGCTTAGGTGGGGTGCAGGGTCGTTGCTAGGGCTGCACAACAAAGAAATGCACGTTCTCCGGCTCCATTCATGTGGCTTAAAGCCGCACAGCCCGCAAGTGTGGGAACAGCCCAGGATCAGCCCTGGTCCGTGAAATGCCAGCCCTGTGGCTGTGCAGCCTGTTCTTTCTCTGGGACCCTCAGGCAGAGCCGACACGACCACAGGGCTGGGACGGACAGCGGGGTTCAGAGCTGGCTCTGACTGGTCAGCGGTTGGGGCAAATGGCCTGTTTGTGGGGGCAGAGGGAAAGGGAGGCAGCCTTGGGGAGCAGCCCGGTGCGCAGGGCTGAGGTGCAGGAGACCCAGGGACAGGACCAGGACGGGCAGCCGCCTTGTGAGAAATGCCCGCTGTGGACACTGGCGGGACAGGCCCTGAGCAAACAGCTCCTCGCCCCCGAGCTGGAGGCCCTGGGATGTGAAGGGTGCTGCAAGGTCGCTCTGCACCCCAGGGTCATACAGGAAGGGGCGGGGAAGGCGGGGCACCAGCACAGGAACCCCAGCCTCACCTCTGATGACCTGCTTGTGCTCTGAAATCACACCTGTGCCGGCCCTCCCCACCCCCAGCAGGGCCTGGCAGGCTGCCCCTCAGGGTGAGCACGGAGCCCTGCAGGCACGGTCCCCCCAGCAACCTGCCTGCTCCGTGGAAAACCCAGCTCAGGAGTGACCTTGCCAGAGCCGGGGCGCCCACCCCCTTGCAGCCCAGGTGGCGCAGTGCTCCTGCCTCCGTGGCTGATTCCTGCAGCAGCGGCGCCCTCGGCCTGCAGCGGGCAGCGGCGCCCTCAGTGCAGGTCGCTCGCAGGGTGGGGTGAGCCGGGGAGGGCGCTGCAGGCCCCCAGCACAGGACGGGGCTGTGTGAGGCGGGGAGGGCGCTGCGGGCCCCCAGCACAGGACGGGGCTGTGTGAGCGGGGGAGGGCGCTGCAGGCCCCCAGCACAGGACGGGGCTGTGTGAGCTAGGGAGGGCCTGCCTGAGGCAGAGAAGAGATTAGAGAAGACAAAGGACCCCCGGGCTCAGCCCTGCGGGTGGGGAAGCTGGGAGCTGGAGGGGCGTCCTGTCCTCCAGCAGGTTCTGTGGAAGCCTGGCTCCGGATGCCGGGAGCACCCACCATCAAATCAGACCCAACAAGAACACCCTCCACCACCACGGGGAGAACAAGGCACCTTTCTGGGGTGGAATCCAGAGAAAAGCAGGAGAGACAAAGGCGGGAGAACAAGGATGAATGATGATTCTAATTAGATCACTGAGACCCACGTTTAAACAAGTAAACAACAATGAAAAGCTCTCCCTTCTGCTGAAATTTCTTGTAGCAGTCACAGGACAGTGGGTCCCCGTGGGCCCCGAGCTGCGGGGAGCCCGCCTGTGTTGGCCCCCGTGGGCCCCGAGCGGGGAGCCCGCCCGTGTTGGCCCGTGGGCCCCGAGCTGCGGGGAGCCCGCCCGTGTTGGCCCGTGGGCCCCGAGCTGCGGGGAGCCCGCCCGTGTTGGCCCGTGGGCCCCGAGCTGCGGGGAGCCCGCCCGTGTTGGCCCGTGGGCCCCGAGCGGGGAGCCCGCCCGTGTTGGCCCGTGGGCCCCGAGCGGGGAGCCCCTGCCCTGCACGCACCTTCATCAGGAGCAGGCAGTTGGCCGTGGAGCAGGTCACCCGGCCCAGGCGGGACCGCCACAGCTGCACGGAGGCTGCAAGAGAGGGCGGTGGTGAGCCAGCTGGCTGTGGGCTGACTCGGGAGGGCTGTCTGTCCTGGCCAGGGTGTCACCACTCATGGGCTGAGGCGGTCCCTGAAACATGGTCGGGCAGCACTCAGCCTCAGGTCAGATCCCAGGCCAGGCCAATGTCGCGCCCTGAGAACACCTAGCCCATGGCCCTGCGTCAGCGGGAGGCCGCGGCCCACGGCCTGTGCCAAGTGCTTCTCTGGGCGCCAGCCGGCTGGGCTCTGCCTTCTGCCTGTTTCCTAGCCTTTCAGATGGAACATGAACTCCCCTCCTGCCTGCTTCACCGAGCGCCCAGTTTGGTCGAGACCAACGTGACAAGGGCACAGAGGTGCCGCTGAGGGGTCACGAGCACCTGCACAGGTGAGGGGGAGCTGAGGTCACTAGCTGGCAGCCCCCCACCCTCCCTCCCTCCCTCCAGCCTGCTTCCTCCTCTGCCGAATCCTTGCCGGGTGCAGACCGTGGGCCTGTCCTGTGCTCTGGGCCCCTCTGTTGTCGCCTTCTCCCACGGATTCCCAGCGAAGGTCCCCTGGCAACTGCCCTGGGATGAGGGGAGGGCTGACTAGTGGCTCCCTGCCTGCCCCCAGCTGACCTTTATCTGTTTGGGTGTTAGAATTACCAGGAGTAAGATCTGCTTTGATGACTAAGCTGATTTTAAACCTTTCATTTTGTTGACTGATGAGCGGAGGCCCAGACGGGCCGGGGGCAATGTCCACTCCGACTGCAGTCCAACACCTCAGTCCTCAAAGAGGAGCCATGAGGTGACTGGGAACCCAAGGCACCGGGAGCATGGGGGACAGGACGCAGGGGCAGCGAGCGCATCCTGGCCGTGTCTGGGTACAGCTGGGCGGCTCGCCCACGTCTCCTCCCACTGCCGAAGGCCGATCGGGGAGGGTGACGACCGAGACACCATGCTGTTCTCGGAGTTTTGAGAAGAACACGGAGACCTAACTGCCAGAACCAAGCACTTGACGGGCCCTGGCTGTGAGCAATGAAGACACTCGCTGCTGCCCAGCCGGTGGCCAGGGGTCAGAGCACGGCTCACACACCAGGAGGTCTCGAGTTCAATTTCCAGGCAGGGTATATACGGGAGACAACTGATGTATGTTTCTCTGTTTTTCTCTCTCTCCCCCTTCCTGTCTCTGCAATCAACAAAAACATATCCTTGGGTCAAGATAAACAAGACAAAACAGAGAACATTAGTGGCTTCTGCTCCCTTTCTACCATGACCGAGAGGAGATCCAGTCTGGGCAACACCCTGTACGGAGGAGAATGTGGACGTACCTGGAGCTGTGGACCCCGACTCCTCCCTGACACAGTTTACCTGCGGGCTGGCCGCTCCCCCCACCCTGGACGACCCCCCACAAACACCTGTGGGCTGACCACTTCCCCCTGGACAACCCCCCACAAACACCTGTGGGCTGGCCACTCCCCCCACCCTGGACAACCCCCACAAACACCTGTGGGCTGAGTGCTCCCCGCACCCTGGATGACCCCCCACAAACACCCTGCAGGCTGGTCTCTCCCCCCACCCTGGACGACCCCCCACAAACACCTGTGGGCTGGCCACTCCCCCCACCCTGGACAACCCCCACAAACACCCTGCGGGCTGAATGCCCAACAGCCCTGGCACGGACCTTGCCTGTTCTCCGGCGAGATGCTGCCCAGGCTCCCGTCCTCGGCCAAGCCTTGCTCCAGGTGAGAGAGGATCTGCAGGGTCCAGGGGAACAGCCATCAGAGGTGGGTCTGCTCCCAGGCACTGTCACTTCGATCCCACAGAAGCCCGGCACGTGAGAGCCCATGGGTCAGGGAGCGGTTCACAGGGACACACTCTCAGCCTGGCCGCCCAGCACACTCGGAGGGCGCCCACCTGGCTGGGACTCACTAGGGTCAGTGGACTGAACACAGGGAGGCTGGGGGATCTGGGAGCAAAACCAACCACAGCCAAACCGCCCGGGCGAGTCGGAATCAGAGTCTGACTGCAAACGCCACGGGGACCAGACCAGTGACCACCCTGCACACTGCTCCGCACACTGCGGGAGACCAGACCAGTGACCACCCTGCACACTGCTCCGCACACTGCGGGAGACCAGACCAGTGACCACCCTGCACACTGCTCCGCACACTGCGGGAGACCAGACCAGTGACCACCCTGCACACTGCTCCGCACACTGCGGGAGACCAGACCAGTGACCACCCCGCACACTGCTCCGCACACTGCGGGAGACCAGACCAGTGACCACCCTGCACACTGCTCCGCACACTGCGGGAGACCAGACCAGTGACCACCCTGCACACTGCTCCGCACACTGCGGGAGACCAGACCAGTGACCACCCCGCACACTGCTCCGCACACTGCGGGAGACCAGACCAGTGACCACCCTGCACACTGCTCCGCACACTGCGGGAGACCAGACCAGTGACCACCCTGCACACTGCTCCAGTGACCACTCTGCACACTGCTCCGCACACTGCGGGAGACCCAGCTCGGGCCACAGGCATCTCCAGCCTAAGCCGAGCCAGCGGCAGACAAGCAAGGAGGGGAAGGAGGGGAGAAAGAGGAGGAGAGGTGTGAGGTGTAAGTCAGAAGGAGCTCATTCTGCAGGCAGCTGGATTCTGAGATACATTGTTTACCAAGTATGCGCTGGGGCCGGGGCGGTGGGAGGCAGATACAGCAGCCCTGTGGGGCTGCTCCCTGATAGCAAGGGGCTGTGACTCCAATTAGGAGGCTGCACCCCAGCCCCACCTGCCGTAGGGGACAGCACAGCCTGGACAGCTGTGGATGGGCAGGCCCACCACAGACCATGATCAGCACCCTGGACAGCAGAGGAAGCTGGCAAAGGGCTCAGCAGTCAAACTGGGTTGTTTTGTCCCTGGAGAAAACCATGTGCCCTGAACGGACCTCCCACTGCCTGACCACACAGAACCAAGACCACCTCATCTCAGGCAGATTTAAGAAGGCAACTGGCGCCCTATTCATAGCTGAAGAGACCAAAGTCCCTGTTCTGAGTTCTGCGCGGTCATCTGGGGGGCGGGCAGGTGCGCTCACAGGACCACTGACACCAGGCAGAAGGGTGGCTCCCAGCACGCTGCAGCAGCCCACCAGGCGCTCACGGGCCTTGGTGCAGGCGCGACCTCTGCCCTCCCGAACCGCAGGCACTGATCTGTGGCCTGCGTGAGACCCGCACCCTGCACTTCCAACCAGCTCCAGGCCACACCAGTGGATGACAGTCTGGGGACCACGGTCTGGAGGAGGGAGCCATGTACCTGTCCCTTGGCAGCTGTCCCGGGTTGTGCCTGGGGTGGGGCAGGGTGGTTCGGGGGACGGGCAGACCACGGGGCTGGCCTCACTGAAGGGCCTGAGCACTCACAAATGTCCTACTCGCGTCCAGACAAGGGTGAGAGCAGGTCTGCCCTGGACGGGCTTGGGTTTCGCTGCCAAGTCCTGGGACCTTAGCAGCCCCCTCCCCCCTCTGCTGGGCTTTCGGGATGAGAGGCTGGAGCTGCCTCACCCTTTAGGGGGCAGCAAGCGCTCCCACAGAACAAGCACTGGGCCAAGTCACTTGTCCGGATCCCCGACCTACCACGGAGGCCAGAGGCAGCTGGGCACATCTCTCGCCTGCAGGCAGGGAGCGCGAGGCCGGGCAGGCCAGTCCCTGCACCCACAAGACAACAGCACGCCTGGAGACACCCCGGCTGCCTGACCCAGGCCCCCTCCACCACAGTCTGCAGGCAGTGTCCTGCAGGGGCTCCCCGCCTGCACCAACTTCCCACGCGCCACAGACTGGGGAGACGTGGCGCCCAGGTGCCCAGAAGAACGCGGGCTCCAGACCTCCTCACCCAGCGGCGGTGCGTCTGGGCCGCTGAGGCCTGTGGCCTGGGCTCACTTCGGTGCATCTTGCTTTACGCAGGGCAGGAGCTGCGGGGCACGGTGACTGGCCAGCCCACAGCCTGTGACACGTAGTGACGCAGTCAGTTTCTCAAGGTGTGGACTTCCTTTGCAGGCCGAGTCCACACCCAGAACTCAAAACCCTGACTCAGCCTGAGCATCTGGTGGAGGGAGCTTCCTGCCCTTCCAGGGCCTCTCTCCACGTGCCCCTCGCCATCCTGTCCGACTGGCCACCCCCTGGCTCCCTTCTGGAGCAGCCGGAGAGCAGTCTGGGCCCGGCAGGCCTGCAGCGGCTGGGGTTGTCAGCGTGCTGATGGCCAGCCCAGCCAGCGTCCCCTGCGCAACAGGCCAGGGAGAGGCCGACAGGGCTGTCCTCTCTTCTATTTTTAACTTCGTTCACAACATAAGATTTTATTGATTTTTTTAGAGAGAAAGAGGAAGGGAGAGAGAGATGGGAACATTGACCTAAGAGAGAAACATGGATCGGCTGCCTCCTGTACACCCCCCACTGAGGAGCGAACCTGCAAACTGGGCAGGTGCCCTGACCAGGAATCGAACCGGGACCTCTCAGTCCATGGAATGACGCTCAGTCCACTGAGCCACACCAGCTAGGCCCAACTACCACTCTCTCACTTTTACCTTCCCTTTAACTCAGTCTTCATTTGATATTCTTCAATAGAAAAAACAATGATTGCAAAGATAATACACGCAGTGCAGAAGACTTGGAAAACAAAACAATAAAACGCCCTTCAACCCCATTCCCACACCGCTCCCACACTGGGCATTCTCCTTCAGTGCCTACGACGGGCTTCGCTGAGGCCCTCCTGCAGTTAGGGTCCTGCAGGCTGGCTCTGGAATTAAGACTATGTCCTACACGTCTCCCATCCTACGGCTGTGGGGTTGAGACACCATCAGAAAACCACATCCTGCCCGACACCCCATCTGGCGCTGCTTCTTTGGTGAGGGTGGCACAGACTGGACGAATAGGACCTCTGCCTCGGCGTGTCCCCCAGGGAGCTGGGCAACGGAGCTCAGAGCTGCAGAGGCCACTGGCCAGGCTGAGCGGCCCCGGCAGGAGGAGTGGGCAGGGGTGCTCCCCCCTCCACAGCCGGCTGCTCGGCCCCCGCACGGCACCATGGCTGCCACACAGATGGTTTCTTTGCATTTGAGAGATGCAGGCTGGGCCCGCACCTGGATGACCGACCTCTGCGGGAGTGAGGGGACCCAGGCGAGGTGAGCACGCGGGGGCCTGAGATGACCGACCTCCGCGGGAGTGAGGGGACCCAGGCGAGGTGAGCACGCGGGGGCCTGAGATGACCGACCTCCGCGGGAGTGAGGGGACCCAGGCGAGGTGAGCATGCGGGGGGCCTGAAGGCCGCTGCTTCTCTCCCTGGAGGAGGGAGACCCGCAGGCCCAGTCTGGCTCCTCGGCACTGCTCAGCCCTCCCAAGCACGCGACGCTGCGCCACTGCTGACCTCCAGCCAGGAAAACCACCTGAGACCGACAGCAGGCGCCAGGAAGCAGTGAAGACGGGGTGGGGCTGTGGGGGGCGAGCGGAGTAACTGCTCTTTGCCGAGACACTGGCCCTGGTTTTGTCCACTGTCCTTGAGTTAAGCATCTCAGATCAACATGTGGGCGAGTGACCAGGGGTGGCCCCAGCACTGGCCTCCCGCCTGTCCCAGTGCCCATGAACACTCAGGACCCACAAATGGACGTCATCGAAGTCCATAACACACTATTCCCCATCAACTGGTCAAAACACAAGCACACAGTTGCTCCCTGAAGTTACAACAGAGGGCACTGGAGCTGACACAAAGCTCGGGCTGTGAGGGCCAGGACTGGCTCTTACGCCAAGTGAGGTCCCCCTGCCCTGCAGGACCGCATCCTCCCGGAACCCCAGGAGAGTCCACCAAGAGCAGCCAGGACTGGAAGGAGGAATCTGACCAACATAATCTCATTTTTCAAAAAGCTGTAAGAAGCTGCGGGTCCTCCCTCTTGTTATTCCCGCCTCAGAGCACCCCCGCACACAGCTTCACCCACCCGAACCCCCCAGAGCCGTGCGAGCGGGAAGCAGGCGAACCCCGCTCCTAAGACAAGCCCCTGCGACGCGGGCGGCCCAGCCTGGAGACGGAGCTGCTGAGTCCCACCTGTCTGCCTGACGTCACTAATGGAACCACCTCCTCTCTGGGCAGCAGTCTGACACTTCCCACCTGCCTGTCACCCCCAAGAGCAGTTCCGAAGGTGCTCTGACCTGACCTGTCTTCAGAGCTGGGTCTCAGGTGACAGCTGTCAAAATGCAGCAGAACTTTCTTCAGTTCTGGAACGTTTTAGACCTTGAGTCTGCACCCTGCCCCGTGCTGCCCCGCAGCAAGCAGGCCCCGCAGGGCGTGAGGGCCTGGCGCGGTCACGTGCGCCATTTCCACGTGAGGGGAAGCTTTCCTTTCCCACCTCACCGACAGCCACACTGAGACAAGGGGCCTCAGGACGCAAGCTCCCCAACCCACCTACCGCCCTCAGTGCTTCGGGAGAGAAGAGTGAATGCAAGGGCAGGACAGATCGAGCCTCTGAGGGGGCGGGGGGCGGTGGTGGTGGGAGGCGGACGGGGGGCGGGGGGAGAGGCGGGGGGCGGGCGCTGGAGCAGCCTTACCTTGCTGCAGACGGCCTTCACTCTGTGCAGCCTGTCCAGCGACTCCTGGGGGTTCCCCAGGTACTGCGGCAGCTCCGCGTGTAAGATCCGCATGGAGAAGGGGACCATGGAGCCTGCAGTAAGGGCAGAGCTGTTAGCTGCGGCCGGGGAGGGGTGCAGATCTCGTAGCAGAGGCCAGCAGGGTCCCTCCGTCTCAGGCTCCCAGTGTCAGCTGTGAGGTGCACGTGCGCGAGCTGTGTGCAAGCATGTTCTGTGTGCAAGCATGTTCTGTGTGTAAGCATGTTCCAGTCATCAGAGGCACAGCCGTGTGTCCACTACTTCCAGCCATGCTTCAGCCACGTACAGACGGTCAAACTGAACGCAACACAGGGCTGCCCCTCCTCCAGCACGAGACAGCACAGGACAGCCGCGGTCCTGCAGTGTCTTCCACACGGAAGCTCGCCCCAGAGGCTGCTGGGTTTGGGTGCCCCCGAAGGAGGACCTGAGGGGAGCATGTGCCAGCAGGGGAGGGCATGGGGCGCAGGGCCAGGAGAGGGGCCAAGCCAGTGTGTGTCTGAGGCCCAGGTCCCGAGGACGCATCTTTAGCCAGATTCTGTGGTGTGTATGCGTGCATGCGTGTGCGTGTGTGCACACGTGTGCGTGCCTCTGGAGCCCAAGTTCTGCCTCACAGCCGTCCCGTCAGGAGGCACAGCAGCTGGGTGTGCACACTCGGTCCCCAGGGCACCCTGGGCACTTCCAGCCCTGCTGGTGTGCTGCGGGGGAATAAGCACCCCTGTTTTTCAGGAGGAAAAACAATTTACCCATTTTTGTTTTTTATCCTCACCTGAGGATATTTTTCCATTTTTCTTTCAGATAGAGTGGGAGGGAGAGAGAGGAAGGGGGAGAGAGAGAGAAACATCGATGCGAAAGGGACACATCGAGTGGCTGCCACCCGCACGACCAACCAGGGCCGGGGACAAACTGCAACCGAGGTACATGCCCTTAGCGGGAACCGAACCCGGGTCTCTCCAGACCGCAGGCCGACACTCTAACCGCTGAGCCAAACCGGCCAGGGCTACCCATTTTTTCTACAATGTGGGGGACATGGTGAATAAAACCACAAAACTGATATTAACGTAGCAAAATTCTGTCAGAATTCAATTTTAACATTTTTTTTTTCAAAGAAAAAAATGAACACTATTGAAATGTGAATGTGTCCTCCTGGCCCCCAATGTAACAGTGAACAGCAACAACTGGAGGAACTTCTGGACCCCTTGTCCCACCGCCAGGGTCCTGCCTGTCCCTGCACTGGCTCAGTCCTTCCGTGCAGGGAAGCTGGGACCACACGCTCAGAGTGGGCGGCCAGCGGGTGGGCACTGCTGTCTCCTTGGCGACCACCCTCCTCCCTGGCATCGTCTTCTCCCCGAGGCACAGTCATGACACACACTCTGTCCCAGCCCATCAGGAGCCAACAGAGGAGCCCTGGGTGGCGCAGACATAGGACAGCGGCCAGTGCAGGGGACACTCTGTGTCTCCCTGCGACTGGGGTCTGGGGAGAGGCCAGCCCCGGCCCCCTCGCCCTGTCCGTGTGGCTCAGTGTCTGGAACACAGCTCGGCTGCAGCAGGAAAGCGGCCCCCCTTCTCCCTGGGCCTGCCGAGGTCTCCTGTAACGCAAAACTCTCTCAGAAAAACATGGCGAGGAGAGAAAGCACATCCACAGCCTCGCGTGGAAGGAAAACGGAGGCAGACTAACCGGCAAGGAAGTGTCACTTCCTAGAGAAAGTGCGCGGTTCTGAGGCAGACAGAAAGGAACAGCCGGGGCACAGCGCCATCAACTCCAGCTGGACCCTGTGGACGCACAGGCCCTCAGCGGGCTCGGGTGCAGCCAGGTGGGACCGGAGGCCAGAGGCAGACTAACCGGCAAGGAAGTGTCACTTCCTGGAGAAAGTGCGCGGTTCTGAGGCAGACAGAAAGGAACAGCCGGGGCACAGCGCCATCAACTCCAGCTGGACCCTGTGGACGCACAGGCCCTCAGCGGGCTCGGGTGCAGCCAGGTGGGACCGGAGGCCAGAGGCAGGGGTGCGGCCCTGTCCCAGTGTACCCCGTGTCTGCAATAAGCCACACGCTGCTTCGGCGAAGGCAGGCTTCCCCAACAACGCTGCACACCTGCAGTTCTGTCTGTTTTAAGGAGACGCAGAAAAGCGAACCATTAAACAGCTTCCGTCAGCCTTGCCAAACCCAGCACCCCCGAGTCTGGTCACCCCAGGAGTCGGTAAAATGCTCACTGCCCAGGATTCTCAGCGACAAGAAAAACTGCGGCTCTCGCACGGCCGTGGGCTTTGCTCTCTCCTGCAGGGCCAGTCAGAACCTAAGAAAAATCAACCCCCGGTGACACGTTTTTCCGGAAGATCCCTGTACATCACAACCTGCACATCGAGGCTGGTGTGAACACTGCAGAAGCGGTCCCGGTGCTCGCTGAGACGCCCTAGGTGGAGACGCCTCCAAGCGCACGCTCCACACCCTGCAGCGCCCAGCTCACGGGCAGCAGGGCCAGAGAGGACGGCGCCGGCCCGGACCCAACCTCCTCGAGGGCGGTGAAGGAGGAAGGGGCATTTGGCTTCCTTGTGCGGGGTGGCCCCTCGGCAGAGCAGGCTGTCCTGAGCGGCCGCAGCCTGGACCTCCCGCCCTTTACTCGCTGGGTGCTGTGCACTGTACGGTGTCCCCAGCAGCAAGCAAGGTCAGCGCTCTGCACGGCCCCTCAGCCACTGCAACCAATGGCTCTTTCTCTCCCAGGCCCATGTTAAAGGGAGCTTGTGGGCATTTCTTTTTAATTTTTTTTTTTGTCCTCACCCAAGGACATTTTTCCATTTTTTGTTCAGATAGAGTGGGAGGGAGAGAGAGGAAGAGAGAGAGAAACATCGACATAAAAGGGACACATCAAGTGGCTGCCACCCCCACAACCAACCAGGGCCGGGGACAAAGTGCAACCAAGGTACGTGCCCTTAGTGGGAACTGAACCCGGGTCTCTCTGGACCGCAGGCCGATGCTCTAACCGCTGAGCCAAACCGGCCAGGGCATTGCGGGCATTTCTTTCTCACTCCGTCTGCTGGGGTGACTTCTCTGCACTTGTCCCCAACGCCTCCCTGTTTATGTTGCTGGCGCCCCTGCCTCCTGCTCCATCGTGGGGACACGGGTGGATGTGGTGCCTGACAAGGGCACAGGCCAGTTCTGTGCATCTCCTTGAGCTGCTCCTGCTTCAGCCCGGCACTGTGACCACGCCACGGGCCAGCGGTCCTTGTTGGAGCAGGAAGCCCGTGGTGCTCCTAGAGGCGCGGAGCAAGGAGGGAATGGGGAGGGGCGCGGGGCAGGCTGCCTGAGTGTGTGCGGTGGGCGCAGGTGTCTGGAGGACAGGCTGGGAGGGGCTCAGTTAGCCGAGGTGGAGGGGAGGGCACGAGACATTCCACATCCTTAATGGTCTGAGGACTGGGGCTCCAGCTCCGTGCAAGTGGCGACGTGGACAGCGGCGAGAGGCGCCGGGCTTCACTCTCGACCAGGTGCTCCATTCTCGGCAGCGGGTCAGCTGGAGACGAAGCCTGAGCGGACGCGGTCACTGGAGGTCAACTACTGTGCCATTAAAAAGAGGCAAGACACCTGAAGGGACATTCAATTCTGAGCTGCCACAGGCTGTCGAAAACGTTTCCAAATTCAGAGACGTGGCGTTCACGATTTCGGAGGGGGGCAGAGGAAGGGAGGAGGGGAAGGCAGACTAGGGATTAAGTATCCGATTAAAGTGTGTGTCTCACCAGTTTGAGTTTGACTTGGTAATCCAGAGGATTAAGTTCTGAAATGAGATTTCCCACGAAATCACTGCGGCTCTGGTAACATACACCACACACAGATCTGAGTTCAGCTGAGGAGGCTCCGCGGCCTCGGACGTCTCGGATGGCTCTGAAGGTCGCCAGGCGTGTTTGTTTCCAACGCGAGGCTCAGGCTGGGTCGGCGGCAGACAGGAAGCTGACCCATGCGCACTGGCCTTTGCTTCACGCTTTCACTGCTGCGCAGAGAGGATCCCAGAGGCCAGAGCCTGGGCTGGGCGCCGGGAAGCCCGCTCCTCCGAGGCTGACGAACTCTATCAGGACGGACACGTTACTATGTCCGTTCATTTCTCTAAAGGTAAAAGTGCAGTGAATGTGTACACACAGAATAACCCAATGTCAACCACTAACGCTCGTCAGTGGTCACGCAGCAGCAAGCTAGTGGGCCCGGTGAAGACCGCAGAGGGGGATGGGGAGCCCAAAAGGCATTTTAAAGCCCCAAGAGCAGCAGTTTCAACGCCGTCAACAATGAAGACAACAAAACACAGCCGAGTGTAGGCGAGGCTGGGGCCACGGCCCCTTGCACCCCCGTGAGGGCAGTGCTGCAGAGCCTGGATGCCCCGGACTGTGAGTGAGGGCCACCCCTCTTTCTCCCCATCCCCACTTGCATGGCCAGCCCCGCCCTGAGCTTCCTGAGCACCAGCAACCAGAGGTGAGGCAGCTCTGTGCCAAGTGTGACCCTGACATGTCCCAGAGAGCGGGGACTTCCAGCTGACGAGAAGGTGCGGGCAGTCGGCACACGAACCCTACAGCCTCCTGCTGGTTTCCAGGCGCAGAATCTGAGCCGTGAGTGGCTGAAATCTGAGCACCAGCTGGGTCCCAGGCTCACCGGGAGCACAAGAAGCGAGACACGAGAGGAGCACAGGACGGGGGGGCAGAGGCCAGGGACGAGGGAGAAGAGTGACAGGCATACCAGGCTCGGCGGGCGCCCCCCAGACCCTCCAAGCTCAGCAGAGGGGTGGTCGGGCCTGATCTGCTCACTGCCCACTGCCCCTCCTCCCTGCAAACCAGAGGGAGGCCGCCCTGAGCAGCACCATCACCGTGTCCTCGGAGGCTGGAGTGACTAGGAAGCCGCTAGAGGTCAGAGACAGACGAGGCCATGACACTGCCCTCCCGGGACACAGCATGTGGCTCTCACTCGCAGTCCCTGCAGGCCTTGCTATGACCACTCCGAATAGGCAGAATGACGCTCAAGATGTAATAAAAGACACTGGAGCTCATTCATAGAGTGACCTGTCTGCACGGCACAGCCCCTTTCGGACGTGCACACTGAAGGCTGAAGTGAGCGAGGGGACGGGGCCTTGCGTGTGCTGGCCACACCGCAAAGTGAGAAGGAACACCAAAGACGCTCAGTGCGCCACCAGGATGAGCGTCACACACTCAGGTGAAGGTGCGCCGGTCTGCGCCCATCCCACCACCAGACTGCCCAGCGGCGCAGGCCACTGCCCTCCTCCCCCAGATCCTGGTGCGGCCGAGTCCAGGGCTTCGGAAGGGGGCTTCCCAGACTGCTCAACCTCGGGACAAAGGTCCTCCAAGGCGAGGGGAAGGCGGATGGGGAGCTGTACACCGAGCCCCAGGACTTGGTTCCTTCCAGACAGGAGGCCCAGTGTCGCCCAGTGCACTGCGGCCCTACCAGACGTGTACAGTGTGCTGAGCCGTTGCGCAGCCCAGCCCGCAGCAGGGCTAGAAGCCAGGAGGAGCCGGCCCGGCCACCACAGAGCCGTTTGTCCCCAGCCAGTTGGTGTGTGTCATTCTGAGAGCAGTTTCCCTGGACTCAGGGTAGACCAGGACAGGCCATGCAGCTCCAGGAAATCGGGTCCCTCAGAGCCATGAAGAGACGACCTGTGTGCTCTAAGCTCTGAATTCCTGTTAACAGCGGACAAAACACCTACCCAGGGCAGCTCCAGCCCGGGGCCAGCAGAGGGTCCCTCTGCCCACGAGTGAGCAGCACCAGGCGAGAGGGCAGGGCGGGGGAGGGGCTTGCAGCACTCAGCAGGGCGGCCCCCCAGGAACCGGATGAAGAGCTGCCAGGCAGTCTACCCACCACACAGCACTGTCCCCACCCACTCAGCCTCGCCCCCTGCCGCCAGCACCTGTCCATGAGGGCTAGCGAGGGGGCGGCAGACACCTGCTCTCCGGGGGTGAAGTCTGCTCCCCTCCGCGCCGTCACCCAGACTTTCTGAGAGATTGGACCACAGAGAGGCTGCAGAAGGCCCGAACCAGCACTGGGCCGCACGGCGGGCTGCGTCCCCGTGTGGGGTTGTGCTGGTGACGGCCGGCATGGTTTTCACTCCGGGGCAAGGTCGGAGGGTCCGACGGTCCACCCACCAGCCAGCCCTGGGACAGTCGACCCGCTGTTGCGTGTGAAATGGTGGTGCCGTGAACACGGGGATGCATCGTGAGTGCGTCTGGGCGAGTGTGGAAAGTGGGGCGAGGTTTCTCAAGGCCCCGTCAGGCTCCCCCCTGACTTTCGGGACTGGGAGGTCAGGACACCGAGGGCACCCAACTGTGCGCACAGCGCACACACGCAGGGCACGGACGCGGGGGCCGCCTTACCCCTGCGCCCTGGGTACACGTGTGGGTAGTACTCGTAGTAGAGGTCCGGCTGGTCCAGGTTCCCAAAGGGCGCGAACTCCATCTCCGCGTTCTGGAAGAGGCCCAGCTTCACCAGCAGCGCCAGCCTCACAAACCACAGCTGGACACAATCAAAGGACAGGTTACCCACAAGTGCCCGTCTGCACACGCCTGTTCCCTGCTCCTCGGGACCAGAGCTCATTTCAAATGTATGGAAACAAAGGCTAAACTAACTTTCCCTGCACGTTTGCATAATTACGCTGATAATGATGTGAGTGATTCTATCCGATTCAGCTCCTCAGACAGTGCTCACTGAGCAGGCTGTGCAGGCAGACAGCTCTGCTAGGGCCGGAAGAGACAGCTCCCTCCCCAGGATACCACAGCTCCAGGGGCTGGGAGAGGCCCGTGGGGAGGGGCCTGGCAGAGAGGGTGCTGGAGGTGCCCAACATCTGAGCAGTATCTTCCAGGAAATGATGGGGGCCCTGGCTGGCAGCTCAGTTGGTTAGAGCATCGTCCCGATACACAAGGTTGTGGGTTCGATCCCGGTCAGGGAATATGCAAGAATCAACCAGTGAATGCATCAGTAAGTGGAACAACAAATCAGTGTTTCTCTCTCCCTTCCTTGCTTTCTCTAAAATCAATAAAAAAATTTTAATGTTTTTGTTGATTTTTAGAGAGAGAGGTAAGGAAAGGGAGAGAGTGACAAAAATATCAATAAGAGAGAAACAGCCCTGCCGGTCTGGCTCAGTGGTTAGAGTGTTGGCCTGTGGTCCAGAGAGACCCGGGTTTGGTTCCCGCTAAGGGCATGTACCTCAATTGCAGTTTGTCCCCGGCCCTGGTTGGGTCATGAGGGCGGCAGCCACTCGATGTGTCCCTTAGCGTCGATGTTTCTCTCTCTCTTCCCCCCTCCCACTCTATCTGAACAAAAAATGGAAAGATGTCCTCGGGTGAGGATAGAAAAAAAAAAAAAGAGAGAGAGAGAAAAACATCGATTGGCTGCCTCCTGCATGTCCCCTCCTGGGGATTGAGCCCAAATCTGGGCATGTGCCCTGACCGGGAATCGAGCCAGCGACCTCTTGGTGCAGGGTCAATGCTCAACCACTGAGCCACACCAGCCAGTCTCAATCAATAAATTAAAAAAATATTTAAAAAAAAAGAAGGAAATGAGGGGAAGTCAAATGAGAGTGCTACAGAATCAGAGATGATGAGAATTCAAAGCTGCCTTAGAAACGAGCTGACTCAGCCTCGTTCCCCATGAAAAGGTCTCGCAGACCAGCAACCTCCCCAGGTCACGGCCAGTCTGGTGTCTCGGGTGGGTCGTGGGAGCCACACGGGGCTCTGCGCAGGGAGGTGGGGAGCACACTGCTTTAAGAGCACCTGTGGGCGGTTTGTTCGGTGACGGGGAACACAGACCGGACACCAGTCCCGCAGGAGGCTGGGCGGTGAGGCTGAGACTGCGGGGTGAGGAGGCAGCTCGTGACTCCTCCCCCCCAGCGGCCACTGTGGAAATGGACCCTGAGGACGGGCTTGCCCGACACCCACCCCAGCTGGTCTCCGTCACTCCCTAAACACCGTGTCCAGTTCTGAGGGCTCCACACGGAGAGCCCGGGACGTGAGGACCCAGGACCTCTGCAGCGCCCCTGCTCGCGCACGGCTCCTGCAGTTCTGTCTGAGCACCTCGTATCGCAACGGGGGTGGCATCTGTCCGTTCTCTCCTGGGCCAGACCTGCCCGGGGCCCTGCGCCTGCACTGAGATGGGTGCTCAGTCCCTGGGCTCCCTGGTTGTGGGCAGAGTGGCAAGTGCAGTTCACATCTGCGCCGTCACCAAGGGGAGGACCGAGTCACCTCACACAGACTGAATTCGGGACATGGAAATCCCCTTTTTGTCCCACACTGTTCTCGCCGGCGTGAAAGGCCGCGGTGCCTGCCATCCCCCAAGCACGCAAACCGGAGAGCAGTCCGGCGTCCGACAGGGCTGTACCTGCAGGGAGTCTGCCGTGTGGCTGGTGGGCAGCCCGCTCTTGCTGTAGCCTTGGCCGTGCGCTGTGAGGAGGCGCCCGCACAGGTCCACCGCCGCCCTCCAGTTTTTGCAGCTCTGTAAGACACAGTGGAACCGTAACCAGAACCGCCACGCAGCCACGCAGGGCCGTGTGCTGGATGCGGCCACACCTGACAGACCACCCGGCCCACGGGACCCCAAGCAGAGGCCGCCTGTCCACGCCGCACGTGCATGCGGGCGGGAAGACACTGAGCACGAGACACTGCCAAGAGCTAGTCACAAGGACGCTGGGGTTTCCGGCTGACAGGACGAGGCAGAAGTCCTGCTGGAGAGCTGTCCACTGCCCCCGATCCGGATGGCTGCTGCTCCCTTCTAAGCAGCGAACTCCGCCCCATGAGTCCTACCCATTTAGTCATTCAGGTGGAGTCTTTGTGTCGGCTATATTTCTGTGCATCTGTGAGGAGTTCTGTGTGTTTACCGTGATTCAATTACTAACACAAAACACTCGATGGACTAGGCCACCACAACACGACACACTCTGTAATTTCATGCTGTGACCTGAACCACAGAACACGCTGCAATGCGACCCCAGCTCATCAGCATGGGCCTGTGCTGATCTCCGCCCCGATGCAGTACAGAAGGGAGGGCACTGGGCTTGTGGACGGGGAAGCGTCATCAGAGACGTTCCAACCCTTTCGGAAGCTAAGAGTGGATGCTCAACGTGTGTTTCTCAAAACAAGGGGCTCTCCTCTGGGCACAGCATGGGCACCGCTTCTGCTGTGGTCAGCAGACGGGCTTGGAGTCACCCTCACGTGGACACGCCAGGCTCGGGGCAGTGGTGACTGAACGCAGAGCCCTGCACCCATTCATGTTAGGGTCCAGCAAGGCAGGCAGAAATGGAACAGTATGTTTCTAAAGGATTTATTACAAAATTTTGTGTGTATGCCAAGTGCTTCTTGACCAAGAAGAGAGTATAAGGTGCCCTGGGAGCACTCGCCAGGTGTCCTGACTTAACCTGGGACCTTGAGAACTGGACTGGCAGCCCAGACCAGGGAGTGCCGAGTGGCCCCGGAGGTGCTCCGAGGCGGCTGTGGAGACCACTGCAGCTGCAGAGGAGCCGCAGGAAAACACAGGCAGGGCCTGAGGCAGGAGGTCCAGACGCACCCTGAGGGCATGCGGCCCTGCTGAGCAGGCAGGAAGCAGACTTCCGAGTGGTGGTCCACCGCTTCCAGACTCGCTGGCTCACGAGCGCTGCCTGCCGGGGGTCCTGCGTGAGGGCAGGGGCAGGGCCTTGGGAGGGCGGGTCACGTGTGGTCAACACAGGCCTTTGTCTGGGGCGGCTGGGGCACGGCCTCTCAGTGCAGCAGAGCAGGAGCTGGCCAGGCGTGGACGTGAGTCTCGCCACCTCCCCCTGAGGGCCGCAGGCTCGTGGCACCGATCACAGAAGTGAGGCCGCACCAGCTGCGAACCAACGAAAGTGGAGGGAAAATGCAAACCGTCCTCTAGAAATCCAGACTGCCCTCCCCTCAGTGAGAGTCAGCCTTCTCTCGACGAAGCCACCAGCAAGGACCAGCCAGCTCGCGGGGAAGAGCCTCCCGTGTCCTGTGGATGTGCAGGTGTGCACACGCACTCGGTGGGCCTGGGCAGGCGGGACCCTGGCTGGGGGCTCGGAGCTCCAGCAGTCTGGCCTCTCCTGCCACGCCGCTGTGTGATCTGGAAGAAGGCACTGACCTCCCTGGCCACACGCAGCTCAGGTTCCTACAGGGCTTCTCCTGGCTCAGCAGCTTGTGGCTTCTCAGTGCTGAATAGTGTCCACTGTCGGACCAAACCCCCGTTCACCTAACTGAAGGACGTCGTGGTTGCTTCTGAGTCTTTCAGATGAACAAAGCCACGTGTCGTTTCGGCATGGACGTGAGCTTTGATCTTCTTGGGTGAGTAGGAGGGAGCGCGACCGCTGGATTATCGGGCAGGCCTGTGTTTCGTTCTGTGAGAACCGCGGAGCTGCCTTCCACATGGCTGCGCTGAGTTGCACCGCCCTGGCACAGGGTGCGAGTCCTGCTGCTCATGCCCTTCCCGCACATGGAGAGCCAGTGTCTGGATCCCAGGCACCCGGTGGCCATGGGGTGGGGCCCATCACCCCTCTCATGAATGCTTTCACCCTGCCCCTGATGCTGCCACCAGTGCCGCCAGCCAACAACGCAGCCAAGGCCGCGATGTCACAGGACACAGACCTCATTTCTTTCTTTTTTAATTTTTAAAAAAATTATTGATGACAGAGAGAAACATCGATTTGTTGTTCCCCTCATTTATGCATTCACTGGTTGATTCGTGCATGTGCCCTGCCTGGGGATCGAACCTGCAACCTTGGTGTATGAGGACACACTACCCAACTGAGCTGCTGCAGGGCCAGTGTGGTTCCTTAGACCGTGTCTCGTAGCTCTTCCCGTGGTGAGGACAGGAGCGCTGCCCGGCGCAGTCAGATGCCCTGCTCCCGAGACGTCCCTGACTGGCGTTGGCCACGTGCACAAGGGCTGCCACACTCACTGCTGGCCCACAGCCTCTCCAGAAAGTCTGGGGGCCACAGGTCAACTGTGGAGACAAAATCAGGGCTGCTTTCCCCCAAACGGTCCGAACTGTGACAGACATGACGTCAAGGAACACAGGGTCTCCATGCTGATTGCTCAGAAATATTTTTAGGTGCCCTGGCCGGTTTAGCTCAGCGGTTAGAGCATCAGCCCCTGGACCAAAGAGTCTCAGGTTCAATTCCGGCCAAGGGCATGTACCTTGGTTGCAGTTCAGTCCCCAGCAGTTCAGTCGGGGTTGTGCGGGAGGCAGCCAGTTGATGTGTCTCTCTCACATCAATGTTTCTCTCTCTCTCTCCCTCCCACTCTATCGGAAAATAGAGAAAAAAAACAAAAAGGAAATAGTTTTAGGCAAAAAAATGCATACTACAACAGCCTCCAAATGCTTTCTCTGGTCTACACACAATGCGACGATCACGCTCTATAATCAAAGAGGCTACGTCTGTTCTTGAACTGCGATCATGAGAAAGGGAGGGAGTGGTGCTGCCGAGGGCCCTGGTGCCACACCTGCATCTAGGCAGCCCGTGTGCAGGGCCGCCCACTGCTCTCCTCCTGCCGGCCGGCCCCAGCCGCCGGCCTCCCTGCGGCACCTAAACAGAGTCCAGTGGGGGTGGGTGGGGGAGAGGACACAGGTTGCGGGGAACGTCTGAGAGTCCTGAGCTCTTAGAGGTGAGACCACGTGCTTGTTTCTGACTAAAAACACGAGTGTTAAAAAGCAAACAAAAGACCCAGCTGTAGAAGGCTGGTTGAAAAGTGAAGGGGGGGGTCAATCCAAGGAGGGGTGCATGGCCCCAGGAATTCGAGGCTCCTGCGGGGCGGCCCCCATCTCTGCACTGGCCTCCCAGCGAGGGTCTGCGGGGAGGCCCAGGAAAGGAGGCGGTGGAGCGCGGGGCCGTGCTGCGGACGGACAGCAGGACGAGGGCCGAGGCGGGCCGGGCAGCAGGACGCCCTGTGGGATCAGTGGCGTGGAGGGCGGCCGTGCGGCTGACCGCACTGTAAGGGTGGCCGCGGGAGGGCGTGACCAGAGCAGTCAAGGACAGACAGCGTGGAGATGAGGGCTCCAGGACCTGAGCGCCCTGGCCCATGCCAGGCCATCTGTGTGGGTCGAAGTCACCAGAGGCAAAGGTCTGGGGGAGCTGACCAGGCAGGAGCCACCTAAGGAAATGCTCACATGTGCAGACAAGGTTTCTGTGCTGGAAGACTCATCCCAAGGTTACTTTGTTTTTACAAATATGTCTTTATTGATTTTTTTAGAGAGATCAGCTGCCTCCGGCATCCCCCTCACCCCCCAAAGGGATCTAGCCAGAAATCCAGGTGTGTGCCCTAACTGGGAATAGAGCCGAAACCTCTCAGTTCACGGGACAACACTCAATCCATTGAGCCATACTGGCCAGATGGTTTTTCTATTTTAAAGATATTTTTTTAGCCCGCCAGTGTGGTTCAGTAGTTGAGCGTAGATCCATGCACCGACAGGCTGCTGGTTCAATTCCCCATCAGGGCACATGCCCAGGTTGTGGGCCAGATCCCAAGTGGGGGGCATGCAGGAGGCGGTCAATCAATGTTCTCTCTCATCCATGTTTCTATCTCTCCTTCCTTTCCTCTCCCTCTCTAATATCAATAAAGAAAAAAAAATTTTTTTTAAAGATATTTTTAGCCCTGGCCAGTTTGGCTCAGCAGTTAGAGCGTCAGCCCAAAGACCAAAGAGTTGCGGGTTCGACTGCAGCCAAGGGCACGTACCCTGGTTGCGGTTCGTTCCTGGCCCTGGTCCGGGTTGCATGGGAGGCAGCCAGTTGAGGTGTCCCTCTCACATCAATGCCCCCCCCCCCACTCTATCTGAAGATATTTGAAAAAATATCCCTGGGTGAGGATTAAAAAATATGTATTTTTTAATTGATTTTTTTTAGAGAGAGAGGAAGGGAGAAGAGAAACATCCACGTGAGAGCAACACAGTGATCAGCTGCCCTGCAGGGGTGAGCCCTCGACCCAGGCACACACCCTGGTCTGAACCAGCGCCCGTTCTGTGCACGGGACAACGCTCGGTAGCTGAGCCACCGGTCAGGGCCCATTCAATTATCATAGGTTCAGATCATGCAGGTAGTATTGTATATTTTTAAAGACTGTTCAATATTGGTAAATGCTTAAGATATAATGTTCAACAATAAAAAGATACAGTCACAAACAAGTGTAACGTGCAATTTTATGTAGCACATGCACACAAATACACAGATCAGTTCATGTTCACGCAAATACACTACACATACACACATAAAATGTTAACTGACAGGGTTATACAAACAGTTTCTCTCCAGTCTTTCTGAAGTAACAGCATGCAAGTCTGTGAATCACAAGATAGGCACACACCGCACGGCGCAGCCTGGGGGAGACCCTACCCCATCTCTACCTAGAACAGGGCTCTCTACGCAGGAACCCAAGGAAGGCATGTTGAAATGATACAGGATACAAGAGTACCAAGTACGAAGATGTAAGTTACTGCTAAGCGTGGCAGCTAAAACA